AAGGAATTTGAATTTAGTAAGAATGCAACTTTTATTAATTGGAATCAATAAATTGTGAAGATACCTAGGTGAGGTAGGTCACAGTATATGGAGCAAAAAATAATAAGAGTCGCACAATATAAAATATACAATTATTAGTATGTTTGAAAAGTACCTCATTTTGAATTCGGAAAAAAAATTGTATATAGGTATCTACTATAAAGTATCCATTACATATTGTATAATTCTAAAAAAATACTAATAACACTATTTATTTCAATCTTCTTAATATTCACATATTTTATCTAGTTACTGAAATTGTATAGAAAATGATAAAAGTTAGGTTAAGATTTTTAATTTTTCCTAGAAAACATTAGGTTACCCGCATTATTTTGGAAATTTATTTCACAAATTGGGTACTTTTAAGTAATAATATATGCTCTTAAAATTTGGCAAAGTATTTAAGAATAAAATACAAAAAGAAGTTTTTACTTGTAAAGAAATAAAATTGTAAATGTATTCCTTACCTGCGACTAACTTTATCCTGACAATCTAGATCAGCACAAGGACGATTTCGCACCATAATTATAAGTATATGTTTAAAGCTTTAAAAATTATCTTCGAAAAACTAACCTAATAAAACAAATCAACCATTACCATTATTGCCATTAATAGCGTTTTTTTAGCTGTTGAAAGTAGTACGTATCCAAAAATCCGTTGAATCCGAATATTAAAAGGATCCGGATATTCCGGAATCAATAGTGTAAATTCGAATACGAATTCGGTATCAAAAAGAACAGAAACAAAATCGTAATACACGAATCGAATGCTGCAAGTTCTGTTATGACAGAGCCGATTCGGGTTTTGCGGGTGGCAGCCGATACGAACAATGGATACGAAATCAGAATTCGGAATCGTCTAGCGTTGTTGCAATTCATAATCGGTTAGTCGGCATGCACTGCATATTTTAAAGGTAACATGAAGTTATATAAATATAAATGAGAAATTTTGTTTCTGATATTATGATAAAAAACAAAATATTTGAGATTTATCTTGTGTTTATTATTCTAAAACATTAAAAGCTCCTGTTACTTCACTCTCAAACATAAATTCTGCTAGGGTTGACAACACTGCCCGATTCCGATTCCCAAGGTCGCGGTGTATTTACGGTTGCGTATTATGATTTCACACATGTGGATACGTATCCGGATGATGAATCCGAATATCTCTTGGTTCCGAATACGTATTATCCGAATACTAAAAAGATACGGATATTCACAACACTAGTTGAAAGTTTTAAATAACAACTTGCGTACACTTGCGTTACTCTGAACCTGCTCTGAATACAATCTGAATCTGCTCGACGAATGCAACGAGCAAACTTTGTGTAAGTAGCGCCATCTATGGGTGGTGCACAGTACTACAACACGAGTAAGCATTTCCCTATTAAAGATCCCCTAGCCTGTTTTTGTTTACGATTTGTTTTCTCAACCTCAAATCTGTCAAAAAATGGAATGACATTTGGTTGGCACAAAGAAGGTTATGTGAATTGTTTACTTTAGTATTTTTTAAAAAAATTTGAGTTTAATTGATTTGTACAGTGAATTAGAGTTTATATAAGTACCCTTCTGAAAGTGGTTTTGACAATTTTACGGCGAAAAACCTACAACTTGTATTATTTTGGGTTGTAAAGTCATGATGTTTTTATTGCCTCTATGGATCTTGAATTCTACATACTTAGACTAATCAAAGAAATTGTAATAGTCATTTTATTACAGGTAAAATACATTTTTTTGACACACAAATAAAAATATACTGTAACTAGATCATACTTTGAAGAACAGAATGAGAATGTTATTTATTGTGTATTGTGTTTAATCAACTGTCTGGTCTGCACCAATAAATTAAAGTAAAGGAACTCATGATACTAATAACATACATCTCAAAAAGTGATCTTTTTACATTTACCAAGGATACATAAAAGTGTATAATAATAGAGACATCAAGTATGACTTTCTTATTTTTAGGGAAACAGAGTTCCTTCGAAGTTAGTAATCATTTAAACTGGACTCCAGCCCAGAACTTGAGGCATGTGTCTCAAACCAGTTAAAAACTAACTGAATCGAAAAAGGAGGAAGAGATAAAAATGAAAATCAACCTGAAGTAAACTTTTATTTTTGAGTCATACCTAACATCATAAGTCCCGCTTTAGGCAAGACAAACCCACTTTCAAGTTATGTGTACCATTGTCCCCAAAGTGGGCCCTTTTTAATATAAATTATATAATTGCTTATATTTAATTTATTTTGTAAATAAAATGTCATACTTTTATTATTTATTTTTTTAATGCCCTATATACATTACATGACAACAAAAAACATCGGTGCAGTTTTAATAACAAAACTCGTCTGTTTTGAATAACTCTGTGCTAAAACTATATAATATGTAGGTATGTTATATTATCCATATTCCTTACTGGTGGAATCCCATTAACGTCCAAATGAAATAATTTAAGCATACGTGTATGTATCTACGTCTGGAATTAATTTTATTTTCTTCAAACAGGTACCTCCATAAATACAATATTATATTAAAATACAACTTAACTAATCAACTCTATTAGGGTATAAAACCTTAAAAATATAAATAAATAAATAAACAAACACATAACCTAACAAAATGCCAAAAGACGGATTTGACAGGGGTTCAAGGTCAATTTTATGCTTTTAAAGCAAACAAGCGAGTTTATTTTCGCTTTTATGCTTCTTCAAAAGCGCTGCAGCGGTTGACAGTTCATCGTCACCGCTTACTCAGCGTTACAACATGTTTGACGACGATGAACACGGCCATTCATTGCGTTCGGTTTGCCACGTTCCTTTAACTCCTTTAACACTTTTAACTCCAAACGACTCTTTTAGCGTTCGGTTTAGTCCGATTAGTGACAGTTTAACACGCTTAAATGTCATTTAAAAGCACCCTAAAATTTGTCCCGCTCCAGCCCCTGACTGACCGAACTCGCCTATTGTAGATAGTTTGTTGACAGACGTTTTATTTTTAAAGGTTTTTTTACATTTTAAATTTTTTCTTACTCTTTAATGGCTTGCGATAAATTGACACTACCATCATTAAATATGGATATGTAAAGACCAATTTTTTTTTAAACATGAACTTGATAGTATATTTAGTTACGAAGTCATTGTAAATTTTTTCTACGCGGTACATTTTTGAATAATTTTTAGAATATTTGTTTTTATTCCTCTTTGACGGCTTGCGATACATTGTCAGTAACTTTATTAATTAGGCTAATGCATACATTAAATTGTGTCAAAATATCAACTTGGTAGTAGGTCTAGTTTTGGAGTTTAGATTGTTAACCGCAAAATATCAATATCTTGAAATTACTTATTTCCTCATTCTGTTGAATACAAATTTTCTTATATCTGGTTTAATATCTATTTAATAGTTTATATTTGTTTAAAATGTTCTTGCTTCTCGTTTTATTTAATAATTACAGCAATATTAATTTAATAAGTTTTATCAAGCTGAGACCACGACGCTGTTCATTCGGGCACTTTCAGAATTTTGGCTGCCAAGTTTGGTCTGCTAAGTTCACACCAGTGTAACTTTTCATAATACTTATCTATCATTTATTTCACATTCATACTTATACAAATCTTATTTTCTAAATATCGTCTTATCTTCATCACATCTTCTATATACTTCAATTTATTAATTTATTATTATTCATAATGCATACTTTTTTTAACTTATTTGTTTTGTGCATATCAATTTTCATTCATCTTCCTTCTCACATATCCTTTTTAAATTCTTATCATTTCTTACACTTTTCCATCTTCATTTTCTCATTAAACATTATACTATTTTTAGTCTCATTCTACATCATTATTTCATTCTATCATATATCATATTAATTAGTTCGTACACATATGGCTATTTTACTCCTGCAAGAAAGGAATATGGTCAGCGTGTCTTAAAAGTACAATTAATTATTTTCGGTGCAAGAACGGGATAAGTACACGACACATATATACCATTCTTGCACCAGTACATCAGGGATATGTGTTTCTCTGTTATAACTCGGTAGTTATTCATCGTAAATATTTGTACTACAGTGAAAGAACATTATTGTGCTACCTATCCGTGATTCAAGCTAAGAGATACGCCCTATGGAGAAAATTTGTAAAACGTGTCTACGAGCAGGACTTTTTTCAATGTTGTCAGCAGTAGCGAAATTCCGCTACGTCAACGGATTTTTAGCCCTTGTAGAAGTGGATAGACCTTTTTTTAGGTAGCGAAATTTGTGTCTACCAATACGTAATCATACTCTATTTTTTTTTTTTTTATTAAAATTAACGTGTCTTTGGTTACAGATACATTTGTTTACATATAAAATCAAATTAAATTAAACAGTAGACAGTCTTTAAGGAACTGAATCACAGCACTAAACTGGTTAGGTAGACCGAGAATGTTTTTAAGAGTTCCACTGAGTTTTTGTTTGCGACGAGTTGAGCTGTAGTGTTTGTAATCTAAAAGTATATGCTCAACTGTAAGTCTTAGACTATCACAGAATTCACAGATAGGGAGATTCTGTGAGGACATTAGATAACCATGGGTGAGCCGGAAATAACCTATTCTGAGTCTTCTTATAACGCTTTTGGCGTTTCTTGTCATTGGAGGCATCTTCTGAGCGGTAACTGTGGGTTGTATTGAACGGAGTTTTGTGTTGCGTGTATTCCAATGTGTTTGCCATGTGTGAATCATCGTTTGTCGAGCTGCTGATTTTAAATCCTGATGAAGTTGAATTTGCTCTACTGGCAAGTTTCGCTGTTTGGTTTGCACGTTCGTTGCCAGTAATTTCTATATGAGAAGGGATCCAGATTATATTCACAGCGATACCTCTAGTACGTTGGTAGTGGCAGGTGTCGAGGATACCTTGAACTAAAGGATGTTGTGAGTAGTTGTTTTTGATGGAGAATATTGATGAAAGGGAGTCTGTACATATGGCAAGTTATCTGTTATCCTGTACTGGAGACCTCAAAGCTTGTAGTATTCCATATAGTTCAGCTGTGTGTATACTACATAAGTCACAAAGTCTGAATATTGCTATTGTTGTGCCTATTGTAGTAACAGCACATCCAGTACCATTAACTTCTTTGGTGGTGATTTATCAGATCTCTGAATTTTTGTCTGAAGACTATGTTAGGCGTCTCGCACTTTTTGTAGATGCTTAGGCTTGTGTTCAACAGTGGAGGTTTTTTGGTCCATGGAGAAGTTTATAAAGTTTTGTGGGAGTTGTAACTTTAAGGTTAGTGTTTCTTATAATAGAGTGTAACATTTGTGGAGATGAGAGCGATGTTCTGGATGTTTACAGGAGCTGGTTGTATAGAGTCAATTAATTTAAATACTGGGTTTTGTGGGTAGGCAGATATCCTAGAAAAATAGGATAATAGTTGGTATTCTTATCGTATGGAAAGAGGTGGTTCAGAAGATTCAATGTAGATGCTTTCAGTGGGACTGGATCTAAAAGCGCCTAGACATATTCGTAATGCTGTGGTTTGGATAGTGTCAAGAGGTTCAAGATACGTTTTGGGAGCGCTCATATAAAGGATACTTCCATAATCTAGTTTGGAGCGGACAAATGAACTGTAAATCCTTGTTAATATTTCCTCTTCTGCTCTCCATTGTTGATGTGCTAATGAATGTAAGATGTTAATCCTATTTAAACAGTTGGCCTTAGTTTCCTGTATATGTTGCCTCCATGTGAACTTTTTGTCAAAAATTACTCCTAAGAATTGAGACTTAATTGTGGAACTGGATTACTTTGAATTTTTTTATTTAAGAATTTTTATCAAACCGATTTAGTTATATCGATTTGTTTTTAAATTTCATCATTTATCAATTTTGTTTTAAAATCAGTTTAGCATTTGGAAACATTGGCCTTGTTGTGTTGTTACCGGTAGTAATTTTTATCAATTCGAAATTTTCATGTTTGTGAGCATTAAATTTGTTTATTTCTTATAATGTGTGTGTTATGGAAAAATGTGATCAAAATTTATTAACAATCCTGGGGTTGTGAAGTTACTGAACATCAAAATTTAAGTAAATAATCAGGATGTCGATTTTTTTTGGGAATTGTCGGATTTGTGATCTAAATTAAAAATTTAAAAAAACCGACTTCAAAAACGTGCAGATGCCGTCACCACATCTTTTCCAAATTTATATGTGGCCACCCCTGAGGTACCCCCTTACTAACAAAAAAATAATCATATAAATAGGACAAGGCGGTAAAGCATTATCGCTAAACATACATGAAAAATGAAGAGTTTGAGGAATTTCTCATGGACCCAATTATTAGATTTTGACCAAATTTATATGGGACCACCCCTGAAGTACCCCCTTTCTAACAAAAAAAGAATCATTGAAATCGGACACCGAGTTAAAGAATTATCTCTGAACATACATAAAAAAAAATATCGCGACGAATTGATAACCTCCTCCTTTTTTGAAGTCTGTTAAAAATAGATAAAAATATTGGAATTGTCAAAAGGGATTTAAAATTGAAGACCGTAACTTCAAAAGGGTCTAAGTGCCAAAATTTAAAAACTATACATTTCTACATAAAAAGGTTCAATAAACCAACCCTAATTGTATACCAATGGTTCTAAATGCATTTTAAAAGAAATCCATTTTTTCTAGTGGGATAAACATGGCGAATGTATATGTGCGTATATGATGTATACAAAATTTATTTTACTTATGATTTTTCCCATGTTTCTAGCACCTAGACCTTTTTGAAGTTATGCTCTTTAATTGTGTAATAGTAATCGTATTTGAAATAGTTATTGAAGTTTTAAAGTTTGAATGGAAATGAAATAAAGATTATTAAAAAATAAAGAACGAGCATAATTTAAAAAAAAAGGTAAAGAAGAAAATCTAGAAATTTAAAATTTATTTTTTAGATTTTTTTTTATTTTTAAATCGTTTTAATTTTTAATCGAACCACCCCTTTTAAAGAGTCTCGGGCAAAATTTTAATTTTCGAATACTGGGTGTTTCCATATAACTTGCTGTAATAAAGGTTGTACTTTTAATTCAAAACGGAGTGGTTAATTAAGTTTATTTCATCATTTTCCAAAGAAGGTAAAAGTATTAAAAATAAAATAGGTAATTATGAGAGGGTCGACATGCGAAAACGGTGGATTTCTATTCTAAAAATCGAAAACAACCTTTTTCCTCAATGTGTTCTTGCATTTTGTAGATGATTTTTTTTTTTCATTTGAAGGTTTTAATCTTGTTTAATTCATTATAATGATTTAATACATCTAAAAACAGTTAAAAAAAACACATATACAAGAACCCGCCCAAAACGTACACAATGTAAATAAATCTCGTACTTATAGGTGACAAAAGGCAGGCGCGAGTTAAATTTATTTAACTCGAAAATAATTTTTTAAAAAACAAAAATTTACTTTTTGAAAATTAAAGACTTTATTTGACGTTTACTCTACAACAATCTAAGCTGGAATGAATTTTAATAATGTATTTTACATGATAATGATAAATGCAAAGTTAACAGTTTACGGTTTTATATTTTAATAGAATCAACGTTTCTTCTTATATAACTCGCGCGAAAATTAATCTGAATCGCGAAACAAACAACTTTTTCAAACAGAGCTGATTATGAAAGTCGAAACATCACTACTCGTTTTAGTAAATTGTTAGATAATCTCATTTTTCAAAATTTTTACACATCCCTTTCTTACATCAGAATTTTCAATTGTTTTTATCTGCCTGATAGTTTCCCAAAATCAATCTATCAAAAACCTTCCAGACATCCTGATTTCTATTTATTTTTTCTGATACATTTTGGTGACGTAATTAATTTCCATATCAATTTATACGGTATCGGCCAATATCCCTTGGCACGTGCGTGTGAAAATTACAGAAAGCCAGCACTAGAGCAAGAGGGAAAGAAACAAATCCAGCGATGCCAGCCTATACGGCCTGGCGAACGTTACAACGCGATCGGGTCGTATAAGTGGCAACGCTGGTATTCTTTCCTGCTGGCTCTGTAGTTTTCACACGCACTTGTGCCAAGGGATACTAGAAGGTATTTGTTGGCCGATGCCGTATGTTTAAACACGTTAGTTGAAAATATAGCAAAAAAAACATTACAAAAAAACAAATAATTTAGTTACATACCTTCTTTACTACTTTTTACGTGTAAATATATTAAACAAAAAAAAAAACTAAAATGTATATACCAAAATCAATGGCAAGATTGATTGGTTTTGTTTGATCAAGAGATCCTGACAGGTGACGTCACACTATTACGGACACCAATTTGTTGTAAAAAATTGAAACCTGTGTAACATATTTTGTAAATAAAACACCAATGTATATAATATATTCAGTTTTATTACCAAACATTGCAAAATAAAATAAATACAATCTTGTGAAAAACTGATATTGTAAATAAATAGTTTCAAAATAAATCATAAAGTATTTGAATTTCCAATTATTATCACTTGAATACAAAGTAATACTCGTATATAAAGATAATAGAAACAAATAATAATAATTAGAAAGTTAAGTACAAAATTTTATGAATCATACATTTAACTTATCGAATTATTTCAAATAAAAATATAATCAATCTAAAGAGGTGAATTCCATTATAAATTAGAGTAAATATTAATCACAATTAAAAAGATTTATACATATTTTAAAAGTATAATAAAAATCAAACTCTTACACTGCCGTCGTAAAAGCAGATGCCATATTTACTGAGAGCGCTAAGCGGAGAAAATGGGGTTTAAAGTTATTTCCTTAGCCCATAAGTATTCAGAAAATTTTAAATAAAAAAAATTTGATTTTTTAACCAACACAAGTATAAAAACATTGATTACAACAAATTTCAAAAGTCATCAATTTTAGTTAAAAAAAAAAAAAAACATACAGTAGAGCGTCGATAATTTGGACGTCAAAAATTCGGACCGTCCTTAATCCGGATTCAATTCCGGTGAAAAACAAAAAAAAGTTCAAGCTATTTGTCAAACAAGAGCGTTGATGCGACAGGATAGGCGGGATCTTAGAATACATTCATATTAATTGAATCGGTGAGTCAAAGAACAGTACTAGTCCAAAAATTGACGTTTTGAGTTAATATAGCCAAATCGATAATAACATAGGTCTCCACCCATTGTGATCAAACTCAGTACAATACACACAATAGGTTCGGCAATATAAATTACGTTGAAACTGGATGACTGGAAGAACAGTAGGAGTCCAGGACATTTACTGTTTTTACACTCATTAACATCACTTTGAAGTTGATATTTTGAATATTATTTTGTTAGTTGTTACAATAGCTCTGTGAGAGTTGGATCTGTTGATTTTCTCTTCAAAATATAGTAATTTCCGCGCAAATATATTTAATAAAAAACAATGTCTAAAAGTGATAGCAGTGATTATCAAGCTGAAATAGCTAATAAGAAAAGAAAAAACTCCAAAGAAGTGGAAAGATAATAAAAGGAAGCTTGCAAAACAGTATGGTGTATCAACATCGGGCAAAGTCGTACCGAAAAATTCATGGGGCCCTCCTTGCACGTAAGTCTTTTTACTATATTTGTTTAAACAATAGTTTTAAATTACGAATATGTTTATATTTTAGATGCAAACGTCAATGCACGTCCCTACTAAACGATGAAGAAAAAGCTGCAATGATTTCAAAGTTGTATGACGGTAGACCAAAAAATGAACTTGATACATATTTATCAGGATTAGAAGCCAAGCCAGTGCAGAGACGTCGACAACGTTCTGAGCAAAATATAAAACCAAGGTCCTCAAAATTTTTCATACTGTATTTTAAAAATGTCTGAACGTGTTCCGGTATGTAAGCAGGCTTTTATGAGTCTACAAAGTGTATCACATATTCAAGTAAAGCGTCTAATTACATGATGGTAGCAGGTTAGTTGCCTAAAGATCTCAGGGGACTACATAACAACAGGCTGCAAGCAAAATCTGATGTGATTATAAAAATAAAAGAGCACATTGAAAGCCTACCAGTAAAAACGTCACATTATGCTTCCAAAAATTATTCGTTATTTGGATGCCAGGTTAAATGTTAAAACGATAAACTCCCTATTCTTAAAAAAAATATACCGATTTGACAGACAAAATAAAATATGAATATTTTCTGCGATATATAAATGACATAAAAAAGGTAATGCAATATATTACAGGAGAATTGATCCTGGCCCAAATTTGCAACCGATGAAGCCAAAGAAGGGGATGATACTGATAGATTTCGGGGGAGGAGGGTTCACCCCAGACCCCCTAGCTACAAGCATGTGTTTTCGAAAAATATGTTATCGTATATTTTCTATAATAAAATAGTTTATTTGTCAACCTTGCATTATTTATAAAATAGAGGCTACTAAAAATAAAATATAAACTACATAATTGACTTAAAAAACAGTACATGTCCACAATATATTTTTTAAAATATTTCATATACAAACCTTTTCTAATAGTTGAAACATGACATCTTACACTCATCTTAAATAGCTTTACATTTGATGTGTACATGTCAAATTTATATGTAAAATAAACTAGTTATTTAGTTTTTTTTTTAATTTACTCAGAATGCCATTTTTGGACTAGTTCTTCTTTAACTCACCGATTCAATTAATGATTTCATTTATCTAATCAATTATTTTACCACAAAAGTGAATTATTAACGGGTTAACAATTTTTCTTTTTGTTATGAATTCAAACGACCTTTTTTGGTTCTTTTCGAAAATTCAGACTGGGTCCGGTCACAATTAATCCGGATTATCGACGCTCTGCTGTACATCCTTTTGGATTTAAATGTTATCTTTGTTTTACAGGACAAATATAACTTATATGCCCAAGTAAGACTCACAATGGCTTTACAAAAGCGCTTAAAATATTTATTTTATAAAAATTCTAAATAAAATAATCTGTTTTTATTTTAATGTACTTTATTACTTTCTTATTTTAAACGAATAATATCTTAAACAAACAGGCAATCTAAATGTTCAAGTATGGAAGCATCTCCATAGCATGTGACTGTCAGAATCTACACGCTGCAGGGGGTGCGAACAAGAAGATGAGACGATGGAGCATATCCCCCATGATTGCATGATGTTCTCATTTATTAGAAGATTTGTGTTCAACGAGAATTGACTAACATTGGCTACGTTACAGATACATATACATACATACCCTTAATAATATAAAGATCACGAAAAAAATAGCAAAATATTAAAAATCGCAGGTAATTAATAAATTAGTAACGTCGCATCTGACTGGTCCTAATTGGAAAAACCGTATCTACACAAGAGCAAAAATAGATACGGCATGTATTATTTGTATTATGCACTTGCGATGTATTTTCTTAGGACAGAATACTAATTTCGCAGATTCGGCTTATTATGTTGGATTTATAATATTTCGAAAACATATGCGGCATTTTTGCTTGGTAAAACGTTAACTTAGCTTGCCACGAACCCATTGATGCAAAAAGCTCGATATCCGATTTATTTTTGTAGATACGGCATCTGTTTTTAGGACGGCAGTACATACAAATGCATCGATACAAATAAATTACTAGTCACGTTCGTACTTCTACTAAATTTATTTTTTACCTTTTTTACTCTTCTGAGCTGGGGCCGACGGAGGACCAGAAACTTGAGCTAACTTTTTTTTTAATGCCAGAAGTTTGTCCACTTCTGGTTGCCATACAGATTTTTCTATTCCACCTTCTTTTAATTTTCTTACAATCAATCCCTATAAATAAAATAAAAATAATAAAACCAACATCTACTTAAGCTCGGGATTTTTAATATTAACTTATTTGAAAATAGATGGGAGTAAACGAAGTTATTGTAGTAGTAACACTGCAAATAGAGTAAAGCGGGCAAATTTATTTCCAGATGAACGTGCAATGATCGTCTATAATAGTATTCGCGCGCGATTTTCTAACTTTAAAGTTTTAAAAGAAGATAAATTACAAGAAATCAAAGTAAAAAAGTGTCTTTAAAGATCATATTAAATATGCATTTCGCCGAAAAATACATTCATTTTATTATCAAAACGAAAATTCACCGTTTAAAAAAAAAATCAGGACTGAATAACAAAACGATAATAGTTTCACGAAATGTAATAGAAAATGAAGTTAGCCATCTGCATTCTCAAGGCATCTTTAAATATTTACCGGTCTGTAAATTCTTAAAGATAGAACCGCCAATGTGAATTCATAGAAAAAGTAGAGTTGGGCGATATTTTGATTTTTAAAACACACTATGAACCATAGCTGTAAAACCGTAAAATTCAAATAAATGAGGTTGTTTCCTCAAATCATTAACAAATTAAATATTCGTTAATACAGTATTGCCTGAAATAAACAGTACTGAAACTAAGTTGGCGGTGTCTCTTTGCGCCCGCTGTAATACCCAAGTTAGCTCGTATAGACATGTCAAGTAGACCTTAAACAACTAATTAGTAGGGCCTAATTGTTAAGAATAATGTTAGGTACAGAGGAGAAAGTGTTTCTGATATAGAGTCTTATTTTCGCTCATACGGAATCGGCCGACAACGTAATGGTGCAAGTCTGCGATACGTGTGATCAATTCTTTCTAAACCTAGGAAAATCGTTATGAAGTCTAACTTAAATGAGGAGGTGCACATTTGGAACATGTACTAAAATGTCAATATGTATATCTTAAATAAATAAAAAAAATACAGGTTCAGTACTGTTTATTTCGGGCAATACTGTATTTTTATGAAAAACATTTATGAAATCCATAGAACATGTAAAAAAAATTGTGGTGACATCCTCACATTTAATGACATTGATAATCAGGTCTGAGGTATAGTCACATATTCGTCCATTTGTACCCCAAAACATTTGTGTGAGAAACTCTCATTAAATGGCATCAGATTTAATTAATTTGACACACATTGTAATAAAACATTTTTTGATGTAGTACAAGTAAAAACTTGAAAAATGTACAAAAATAACCTGTTAAACAAATTACCTGTTTAGTCACTTCATTTTCAAGTTCTTTAACTTGTTCAGGATTTATTTCACAATTTTGTGCTGGTTGAGATGTAGTCGAACTAGATTTCTGCGCACTTTCTAATTTTTTCTTTAAATCTAGAAGGATCGCGACCTCAGGTTGCCATACAGTCTTAGCTGTACCACTGGATTTTAGGTGTCTAACTTTATCGGCCTAAAAACATAATTACGAATAAATTAAATAAATCTAGAAAATTTTACGTAGTGTAATTATAAATCCATGATCGAAGGGTATGACACAAATTTGTACACCTAATCACATTTAAAGGGGTAAAAGGGAATGAAGGGGTTATACAGGAGCGCGTTTAGAAACCTCGCACGGCGCGTCTTACCACATACATTAGAATAGGGTCCAGACTCGCAGTGCGAGGTTTCTAAAAGCACTCCAGAGGCAAGTACTATCCTGAAAAGGAATTTAATTTAACTAAAACCCTTAGGATGGGTTATACAATAGACAGTTAAAATGTAATCTTAGTTTAAACAGTGAACCTCGTTGTATAATGATCGGTTATTGTTAAACATAATTTTAAAAATGACATTTGTATGTTGAATATACCCATTTCAAAATTAAACTCCTGTTAACTAAACTGAGTTTACAACATTCTTTGTACAACCTGCCCTTAGAAGAAAATAAATATTAGGCTAAAAAAAAAGGCAAGTGGATGAATGGGCTGATAACATTTTTTAAAAATACCGATTTTTTTGTTGATGAAGGAATTAAGTACATATTCAGCGTGTCCCGAAATTAGACGGTCATATTTTAGCAGCGTAATCTACATCCTAAAATAGAAGTAAAAGTTCATATAAACATAGGTCCGAAAAAGTTTCGTTTTCGAGATACAGGGTGATACAAGTGAAGTCCTGATGGCACATTTTTGTAAATATTTACTAAAATTTCCGGTTTTCCAAAGTTAAAAAAAAAAAAAAAATAAAATTTCTGATTCCATAGGCCTACTAATTATTGTTTACACTTTCGAATAAGATACATCAACTTATCATGAAATTTTCAAATGCTTTTCTCTTGAAAATGGTGCGTCCTAGCGAGATGCAACAAAAGTAGCTTTATTACAAAGAAAACATTGGTTTTCCAAATTTTATAGTCAAAAATGTTAAAAACTGTCAACAAAAAAATTTTACCCTAAGCCCCCCTAATTTACCCACCTATGAAGATGATCAAAAACTGGGGACTTAGTCCATTAAATAGAGCATACAAAGTTTAACATTTGTACCAAATTTCACTTATTTATCTTTAAACGTTTAGAAAATATTTACAAAAGTGAGTCATCAGGACTTCACTGTTAACACCCTGTATCTCAGAAAAGAAACGTTTTCGGACATATGTTTATATGAACTTTTACTCCTATTTTAGGATGTAGATTACGCTGCTAAAATATGACCGTCTAATTTAGAGACACCCGGTATGTATTTTCTAAAAAGGATAATGAATTTAATTAAATCGCTCGACATCTCTTCAATCGAGCTAAATAATTAGGACACTGAGTCCAAGACCACAAGTCGCTAACGGAGTACAACAAGGTCATCAGAAAGGCCAAACGGAAATCGTAGAGGAAGTTCTGACTGCGTATATCAGATTTACCTGCAAGCATTGGAATTCACAAGATTCTTGCCAAAGATCCAAGACAAGAAATCGGCTCAATAAAAACACCAGATGACACCTATGTGACTTTGGTAAGGAATCGTTAGAGATTATTTTACAGAAATACTTCCTAGGCAGCCGAATTCTGAAGGACAGGCAACGAGTACCCCCCTTCCTTCTGCGGAATCCAAGAAAGATGTTTGAAAATATGTTGCACAAGTTGTCTCTCCAAATGCCATGAAATGAGCTATGAATTTATTCTCCCCTTTTAAATCACTCGAAGAGGATAGCATATTCCCTGTCCTGCAAAAAGGACCCTTGCTACATCTTCTCATGAGGCTATTTAGAGCACGTCTGGCCTGAATTCATAGGAACAGAACCATTCCAGGGCATTGTAAACAGCACTTTCAAAGGAATTATCTCAAAATTGACAGAGGGTGTAACACTCATGAACTAGAGAGATACCTCAGGGCTAACTCATTCGAAGACGTTTATATGCATACCCTTCGATGAACGCCTCTGCTCAGATCCGGGAATGGAATAGGAAAGATCTACACATTCTTACGGACCTGATGACAGGATATATCATCTGGATAACCACATGAGAAGGATAGGTCTGTAACAAAAAGCAGGCTGTTGATTCTGCAGCGTGGAAGACGAATCCGCAGAGCACATTCTATGTACCTGCTCCACTTTGGGAAGAATTAGGTTTCTGATCTTCGAATTCAGCTGACTGGAGCCTACCTTTTTTAAAAAAGTCTCACCTAATTCAACCATGGTCTTCATCAAAAGGTGTAGTTTGTATGGTGAACTATAAGTTAAACATGAGCTGCAATAGATCCATCTGGGTCGCAGTGGAAGGCGATGAGATCATCTCACTCATTTTCAACCTAACCTAATTAAATCGTTAATTACTTAAACACTATTTTTTTGTAATGTAACCTCTCCATCCACTTACCCCTTCAATTACATTCGTTTTTAATAATAATTGGTAATTATACTGGGAAGGTGGTTTCTAGAAATCAAAATTAAAAGTGAAAATCAAAATGTCGAGTGGTTGTTGATTTTAAACAACTGTAGGATGAGAATTTGAGATTGTCAGGGGGGTTAAAATTAGTTAGTTGAATTAGAAATTGTATTTAGAATTATTGTTGTTAAAGTTAAAGAGATTGAATTTCATTGAAATAAAGATTGGTAAAATGAAGTAAAGGCATAATTTAAAGAAAAGAGTTAAAAGTTGAATATAATAAAAGGTACATTTTTTATTTAAGTTGATTAAAAAAGGAAAACATTAATCGAAAGGTAAGGCAGGTGTTAGAGGAGACAGGCAGGGGCAAGCAGAGATAGTAGAGAAAACCGACCGGTAGAGACAAGCAGACACACTAGGGAAAAGCATACAGGTAGAGACAAGCAGACAAGTAGAGACGATAGAGAAATGCGGAGACAAGGAGCTAACAGGAAATACAGAAGAGAAGACTAAAGAATTTAAATTTATTTTTTTTATTATTAAATTTGGTATAATAATATATTTGTAAATTTGTACCCGTTTTTGAGAGTCTTAAAAAATTTAGAAAATTGATATACCTATATCAATAGATAGTTATTCTTACTCAAAAGATTACAGCATAAGTCACAAAACATTTTACAAAAAAACATTCATACATACATATAACAGAAGAATTTAAAGTAATCGGTTATAAAAGAAAATAATGCGTTATAATTTTATAATTCAAAATAGATGGTTATAATTGAGTCATTTAATGTGATTGAATGTAAAGTACGATTCAACTAAAAAAAGTCACACACATCATACCTGACAAAGGCCGCAATAATTTGCCTCTCTCTCAGGTCCATCCCATTTAAGCGTCAGTGGCGTTTTGGCAATTTTTTTCGTTTTTCTAATATAGAGATACAATTGCTTAATAATTTGACAACGCTGTACGACTGCCGCATGGTCCAGAATATAATTCGAACAGAAGCTATCCCGTAAACATGGATCCCTTATTATTGAGAGCCAAACTTCGGCGTTGCCAAGCTTTTACTTGCGAACAAAAGTACGGGTTCATCGGAAGAAAGTGAAGACAGGGAGAGTACTATACTCTGTTTTTAAACTAGGAGGAGCGAATTGAAAAGACGCATTTACGCAGGGGAAAAGTAACTAGATTTGTTACTAAGTGCGAGTTTCGAAATATAGTCGTGTTCAAAATTTATGAAATAATTATCTTTATCGGTCTTAGTCGGTGAACGGCCAATGAGCGGTTAAGAAACGAATAAATGTCATAGAAGTAATTTTTTAATTGGTCCCAGACAACGGTCGCAAATTTCACATTGTGATCTGAAATGTGTGTCTAAAACGAAATGTCACTGTCAAATTAAAGTCAATATGGTTGTTGATTGATGTCAGAAATACTTTTTTCTTGCTTTTGAAATCGACTTTTTGAGAATAACTATGATCTTTTTAAAATGGATAATAAATATTTAAGAAAATTGTTAATGGAGTATCCAGATGTAGCCTGGTTAGTATAAAATATAAAGATCTGTTTACATTTTTAAGGATATATTTGTTATAGGTATACAAAGTAAAAGTTAATCAGTGAATGACAAGTGGATCACACAGTAACTGGTATCTCTTCTATGAGTAATGTGGATATTATGGCTTATTTAGTGTTAACCCATGGTTAATGCGCTAGAGGGCAAATAAAGGCATTCAAAAGTTTGCAGGCCTATGAGTCAGAATTTGTTTTGAAAACTGGCACCAACATTTTCATAACACTACATGTCAACATATATTTTTTAAAGTGAACTATTCATACATACCTATGTATTAATAACTCATTGTGCCAAATTAAGATTATCCCTAAAGTAGTAGATGGTGTTTTAAATGTTATAACAATTTTGTAAATAGTTTTATTCTATTCTAATAAATAAAATTTGCTTGAATATTTAGTTACATTTTAATCATTTTGGTTAGAAATTCATCAATTTTTAGTTTTAAAAAATCAGTAATAAAATTATTTTTTTCTAAAATACTTCGGAAATCATCTCTTCATGGTAATCTCCCATCTTTTTACCTTCAAAAACCAATAATGCATTTTCTACAAAACCTTCAGAATCAGCATGTAAAATAATGTGTCTTCCCTTTCTTGTAAGGCTCTTCAGGAATTGCTACCTTTAATAGTACTCAGTGTAGAAGGATCCATAATTGTAGATTTTCAATACAATTGCTTACTGAAGAACTATTATTTACGAAATAAAGTAAAAAACTAAGTAATGGATGAGATATCAAATTATAAAATGTCAGAACTGTCAACAATATCAATTATTAGCTGATGTTCATGCTAAAAAGTAATGTGTGAAACTGACTGTAATCTGACCAATCAGAAGGCTACAGAATTGCTAACTTAAATTCAAATCGCTCCTCTTAGTTTAAAAACAGTATATTAGTTCATTAACGGACGAACTAGGATGTACTCCTCTAGTTTCACTTTTTGCACTAGTTGCATAAATAACTATTATTTTAATTGTAATAAAAATCTTAAATTTCAAAATTGTGTTGCTATTTTTAGTTACTTCCCACTGAATGTTTTGCAAGTCTAAAGTCGAAAAATATATGTAATATTATTTTAGTTTAGTTATTTAGGTAATATACAAATGTTTAAATCATTAAAATTTAACTTTTTAATCCAATAAATGTTTTTTTGTTGGGAAACTGCTTTAATTCTTATTTAAATAAGAGCCTACGCCACTGGTATATCGATCTGGAGCAACGGAGAAGGAATATTTTAAAGTGAGACAGACGATGACTAGTTGATGACGCCCGTGGCTTTTTCTAAGTTGAATCGTACTCTATTTAATTGTAATTATATATGCATGATGGTGTTCAAAATTATTGGACCACTTAAAAACCTAGACACAACGAGCTTCTAGTGTATACATGTATGACAGCTCTTATTTTTTTAAAGTAATCAAAAGTAATGATAGGTTACTTGGAAATGTTCGATAGGTATGACTGAAATGTGGACAAAAGATAGAAAGAGTTGTGCGCCTATTCATAATCAAATTAAATACTCAGACAGCACACCAAATCTTTTGTATATCTACTGGACATCCCAATATCCACTGAATGTCCAGTCCATGATGGATATCTATTTTATATCCATATCCATGAGATGTAATTTATAGACATGCAAATGTCCATAAATAATAGTAATTATATTGAAAAATTACGCCATTGTGGCTAATAGTACCGTTTAGATATTTAAAATTATTTATTTTTAAGGTGTATTCAATATCCCATGGATATCCACTAAATATATCAAAGTCTAGGCGCGAACGCATACCATGGTGGATATCCACTAGATGTAATTTATGGACATAATATGTACCTAAATATCGGAAAATTGTGAATTGATTTAAGAATTACTAAATTACTTAAATATTACGCCATGTGATAACTAAGAAAGTATGTAGGTATGGTTTATAGAAATTTAAAATTAGTAAGTTGTATACAATATCCCACATATATCCGCTAGATAAATAATATTGGCAATGAACGCGAGCGCATGCGCGCATATTTTCTGCCCTCACAGGTGCCATCGGCCATTTTATAGTTTGTCTTCGTTTTGTTTGTATCATGTGCATGAATTTCATTTGATAGTTTTGGATTAAAAGGAGGTGTAAGTAAGCTTTAAAACCTAAATAATTAAGATGGATGTTACTTTACCTACCTTCATATACCTACTTATTTTATGTCATTATTACTGTTTCGGTTTGGTTTTAATTGTTTAACGGTTGTTATAATTAATTAGAAAGAGGTATTTTTTTCACTGGTTAAGGTAATCTTATTACATCTGCCTTGTATTCAATAGCATGCATGAATAATTTAACAAGTAAGGTTAGGTTATGTTCAGCTGGACCAACAGTTTAGATAAATAAGTATAATATATACACAGATCCAGCCCTTTTAAATTAGATAGTGTTATATATTGTAATATTGTATAAGTGACACTCTGCACAAAGGGCTTTTTCAGACTTCATTTTCGTTTTGGGTATAGCTTGATTTAAAATATAGGTTCACTTTTTGAGGAATTCTACAACAGAGCGTCTTTTTTTTTTTCAGGAAGAAAATCCCAGTTGAAATTGCGGCGCCAATATATAATGTGTGTGTGTATGTGTGATTATGTTTAGGTTTTTCTTGGCTGCGGGTACTATGCTCATTCGTCAGCTTAAATGTAATATGTTATTTCATATATTATGTTTATACTATAATTTACTTTTTTTAAATATATTTAGCCTGCTCATAATATTTGTCTTTGTTTTACCAAACTATACTTAATATAACAACAATAAAGAATAATATTTATTTGTAAGATGCATATATGTTAGATAACTCTGCGTTGCATTCAATTTAAAACTTACTTCATATACGAGGTCTGATCAAAAAATAACCATTATTTTCAATTTTTTTCAAAAAGTATTTATTTATTCATCAATAACTATCTGGTCCCCTTCAAAGTAATCCCCCTCAGATATAACACACTTATGCCAGCGTTTTTTCTAATCCTCGAAACACTTCTGAAACGCGCTTTTTGGTATCGCCAACAGCTCCTCTGTTTCGATTTTTTTTATCTCCTCAATCGTAGCAAAACGCTTTCCTTTCATCGGTGTCGTCAGTTTTGGGAAGAGGAAAAAGTCAGCGGGGGCCAAGTCCGGTGAATACGGTGGTTGAGGCATGATAACGGTTTTGTTTTTGGCCAAAAACTCACGCACAAGCATGGATGTGTGAGCTGGTGCGTTATCATGGTGCAAAATCCATGATTGTTTTTTCCACAATTCTGTGCGTTTCTGACGAATTGCTTCGCGCAAACGGCGCATAACTTCAAGGTAGTATTCTTTATTGACCGTACGACCTTGTGGCAAGAATTCATGATGCACCACGCCATTGCAGTCGAAGAAAACAGTGAGCAAAACCTTCACATTTGACCGAACTTGACGTGCTTTTTTCGGTCTTGGCTCTTCTGGACGCTTCCATTGGGATGATTGGGCTTTGGTTTCAATGTCATAGCCATACACCCATGATTCGTCACCAGTTATGACCTTTTTGAGGAAATCTGGATCGTCGTTGACGATGTTCAACAGCTCCTGAGCGATGTCCATGCGACGTTGTTTTTGCTCAAAATTTAGCAATTTTGGAACAATCTTCGCTGCCGCACGTTTCATGCCTAAAACATCCGTAAAAATTGCTTGGCATAAGCCAAACGATATGCCAACATCATCAGCAACCTCTCTGATAGTGATTCGACGATTATCCAAAATCATTTTCTTCACTGCTTCAATATTTTCATCGGTTGTTGACGTGCTCGGGCGAGCATCGTCATCGACATCTTCTCGGCCTTCCTTAAACCGGTTATACCACAATTGAACTTGTGTTCTGCTCATAGTAGACTCGCAAAACGCCACAGTCAACATTTCAAATGTCCTTGCGCATTTAATTTAATTTTTTACACAAAACAATACAGTTTCTTTGATCCATTTTTTCGAATAGTAAAAAATCGAAGAGCACACCAAAACACGACTAACCTTTTTATATGTCAAAAACAAACTGACAATCCAAAATGGCTGATATTGGTATGGTATGGTGTACAATATTTAATTGCAAAAATAAAATATTGATACTCTTTCTACTATACATGCTATATCTATGCTGTGTAGCATCAAAAATAGTTAACACTAGAATAGTAAACTTTGTATGGGTGTATATACCAAATTTAAAATACAGGGCGTTCCGATGTTATGCTACTGAAATGCTGATTTTCTTCATATGGAATGCTTTTAGATTATGCAGTAGATTGTTGCAAAAAATACCGACACCCTTATAGGCATATAATTTTCGATATCTTAAATATATCAAATAATGGATGTACACTGGATATGTTAAACATCTATAGGATATATCCATTGGTTACTTATGAACCTCTACTAAAGGTACCCATTAGATATTTTGCTGAATATTCATAGAATGTCCTCTATATCCTGGATATAGACGGATATTTGGATATCCATATTAGATCCACTGGATATCCTATGGATTATGGATATCCACAAAAGATATTTTGCTGAATATTCATAGGATATCTACTATATTCTGAATATAGAAGGACATTTGGATATCATATTATATCCATGGGATATCTATGATATCCTGTGGATATATTGGATATTCACAAAAGATATTCTGTGGATATCTCTGGGATTTGGGGTGTTGTCTGGGTAATTTAGCTGAATTTCTTACAAACTAAGGCAAAAGATAGTTTAAAAAATGAATAAATAATAAATGATTACCGACTAATATTTTAACGGTTTTTTATATTATTAATTTTTCGAATTTTATTAGCATTTTTTATAAAAACCAAAAAGTGACAAAATAACCAAAAAAATTCAAGGTTTGGAAGTATTTTACATATGAATTGTATAATAAACAAAAATACAAATACTGTTCCCAAAGTTTGTTTTTTTTTTTGGAAATGCAACCAGGATGAAGAGACAATTAACTGTGTCTTCATTAAGCAACAATTTAACAATTTCTGAAAAAGGTCAAAAGACTCGAAGAAAGAAGGACAACTTTTTACTACTTCTGACATGTCTGTCGGAAAGGCCCAAAAATTATTTTTCCGGACAATTATTACCTATTTGCCGAATGTCATGTCATACCCTTTATCAGTGATTGAAAAAATTACTTCATAAATTGTACCTGTTTGGTAACTTCAGCTTCTAAAGCTTTCAAATCTGAGGAATCCCCACTAGCATTAGTTGCATTAGGTTGTTGCTTTCCAGCAAATTTTTGTTTTAATTCATCAATAGTAGATTGCTCTATTTTAGCAAATAATGGTGATGGTTCACCCAGTTTGTGTCCAGGCGGAAGCATGGTAACAATTTCAGGAACCCTATAAAATAAAAAACAGATAAAATATCTCAAAACTGCGATGTTATCATATTTTTTTTAAATGAACAGGTTGGTTTGACTAAAAACAGCAAAAGTTGACTACTTACTCTGGATTAAGAACAAGGTTCTTAGCATTTAATTGTTTCTTCAAATTCTCACTTGTATCAGGCATGTAAGGTTGTAAAAGTGTGGCAATAAGACAGGCCAAATTGCAACAAATACCAATAACAGTTCCAGCACGTAATCTAAAAAAAAAAAAAAAAAAAAATGTTTAAACAACAAAAAATAAAAGAAAATAAAAAAACTTACTTTTGTTCGTCAGTTCCTTTTAGTAACACCCAAGGTTGATTCGCTTGCATATACTGATTACCATGTCTAGATATGGACAGAATATGCCTAATACCATCTCTCAATTTAACTTTTTCTAATGATTCCATGTAACCCTTGAATTCTCTTGTGCATAAAGCCAGAAGGTTGTAATCTTCGTCAGACGGGTTTATTGGAGGTATGGTTTTATTAAAATTGTTCTTTGCGAAAACTAGAGCCCTAAAATTTAATAAATACGGTAAAAATTAAAGGAAAAGAAAACGAGTATGAACCAAAATTATTTTATATACAGATTATCTTCATTTTGTTACGTATTTACCCCACGACACCAGGTGAAGGTTAATAAAATTGTAATACAAAATTTAGTTAGCAGTGAAAACAAAGTCAAAACATTTTTTATAATAAATGTAAATGTAAAATGAATTTCAAAATTGAATATTACCTATTGATGAAATTTCCCAAATTGTTAAGTAATTCCGAATTGTTCTTTGTCGCGAAATCGTTCCAACTGAAGCAAGAATCTTGAGATTCCGGTCTAACATAAAGAAGATAAAATCTCCAAATATCGCTAGGAATGCCTGTGCTCTGGGCATCTGTTCCAAAAACTCCGACTCCTCGTGATTTTGAGAATTTTCCGTCTTCATAATTTAAATATTCTACAAAAAAATAATCATTTATTAGTTGTCGCGGTATCTAAATAAATAAAATTAAATTTAAAATGGAAAATTCTTTTTTTAATTTCAGGAATTGATGGATATTTGTATAAATATAGGTTCTATCAATATTTTTTTAATGTTTTTATAAGTGACAATAGTGCAATTTTCAGTAATATTTAAAATTATAAAGCGCTTTACGCCTTAAGCCATCATCAGTGCTGATCTACAATAAATTGTGTATAATATCTTATATATACAGTATGTCTCACTTTAGACTGCACCACGCTAGTATTTTATTTATGTATTATACTCCACACAAAACTGCTAGCCTGATATGATTTAAAATAAACAGCAAGATTGAAGGAATTTTTTAACTGTGCACTAATAAACCCACCCTAAATCCGAGAAACAACCTTGCCATATATCAAAGTAGGAATAATACATTTTAAAGTATAAATACTCGACTTTCCTTCCAAATTTTATACTCTCCTATTTGTGCTGATTATTAAAGTGGAAGTGGCCGATTTAATTTTATAAATTTATAAAATATTTTAAATTTCATAGTTTCTACCGGCAAAATATAACAATGTGACTATACAAAATTATAAAAAAAGTTTATACCAGTAGCCATCAGATGATTAACAGTGGCATATCCATTATTAGCACCCAACAACATAGCAGGAAACAATACAGAATGGAATGGAACATTATCTTTGGCCATAAACTGATACAAAGTAACTTCTGCTTCTTTTGATGGTTTCCACCATTTCTCGTAATCTTTAGTATATGCCTTAGTGATAGACAGATAGCCCAATGGAGCATCAAACCATACATAAAATACTTTACTCCTGAAGCCGTCTAGAGGTACTGGAACGCCCCATTTAAGATCCCTAGTAATACATCTGGGTTTGAGACCTTCTTTTAACCAAGCCTTAGCTATAACCTGTGAATTGTTGGACCAGCCTGAACACCGTAGCCTCACCCAATGGTGAATAAGTGGTTCCAGCTAAAAATATTATTTTGATTTGAAATATAGTTTCTAATGAGTATAATTATTTAATTTGAGTATTTTTCAAATGTCTTACTATCCAAATTTCATTGTCACATAAGTTTTATTTCAAATAATACAGATACTAATTTCAGAATACATTTGTAAACAATTTTAAAAGGACATTTTAAAAAATCGTATCTTAGCATAATTCAGATAAAAAAAAGAAAATAATATAAGTATACTTGTGTTGCATAATACCAGAGACAACAGAGACGTGTAACTTAATAGGAAAATATGTTCGGTGGTCCATTTAAATTACATATATGACCCTCTTTTTCTTTTACATTGATCTTTACATATGTCTATCTCTCTCCAATAAAACTAACACCATTTTCAGAGGGCGCTGGTGTTGCTGGTTTTTTGACGTCGAAATATCGATTAAAAGTATTAAAACTGACAACTGACAATGTTATGAATGTTATGAACATGTGCATTTTATTAAAATTAATTTAATTTGGGCCCCGTATCTTTCTTTTAGTCTGATTTTGTTGTTTAATTAATTTTCTTTGGGGGGGAATGTTTATTTTTGCATATTATTTTTTGCATGATGCAATTTCTGGAACCAAACTTGCGTTTTTGTACACATTTCTTTCTAGAGGTAAGTAATTTCCAATTTATTATGTATATGTGTATAATGTGTGTGTTTAATAATATATTACACAATGACTATAATTATTTTATGTGAATTGGAACAGAGATCCATTGTTACAGCTACTTGTGTTCATTAAGTAGGTAGATGAATGTATGGACAGCTTTAATGGCAGCACAAAGTTCCTATCTACTAGAAAAGTAAAATGTATGCTGAGTAAAAAATCTGCACATGTAGTATTGGCAAAGGACTTTTGAAATGATTAGAGATTAGCTATTTCTTACATACCTCTAACAGCCACTCTAAAGGAAAAAAAAAAATTGAATCACAAAAGGGCAGAATTTTAAATCAGGATGCATTGGAAAATAAATTTGGGGACATCAGGTCGGTTTTGGATTTTATAGAGAGATCAATCTCAAGAAAAGTTAATTTATCCTGCAGAACAACCAGTAGTTTAAGTAGGATTTGCTATAACTTTATTAGAAATTTTCTTTGATAATAAATTGTAATATAGGTACCAATTATTGTTTCAAATGAAATTGAGTAAAATGTTATATTCATTTGAACATTGTAAGGTAATCTATAATTAAGGGAATATGGAAAATAGGTATACCCTGGTGGTGTAAGAGAAAGGTAAGGGGCAATGACAAAAAAAAATACAAAAATGTATTTATCTTTAAATAGTGTTTATTATTAATAATATTATTTGCTATGTTTGAAAAGTACCTCCTGCTTCCGAACAGATCGAATAGATTAGACTACTAGTTGGAGAAGGTCCACCTAGTAACCAAATTAGGAGACTAGGAAAACTTTTACATGACTGGGGACACAACAGGAATGCACACACACAAGATACACAAACAAACGAAATAACAGGGGTAAGCCTTCAGCAACGTCCTGTTTAAATGATGATAGTATGTCATCCTTCATTCCCTTTTAGAAGGCATGGCATATAAATCTATTGATCTTGATTACTATAAGAGGAGTTAGCAGGGGTCTAGCAGGTTTCGATCCAGTTTACAGGATGGGTACTTACTTGACTCGGGCCTTATACATTTGTGTTAACTGTATGTGTGTTTCGTTTCCATGGTTTCTATTAAAATAAACAGTCATAACATATCCATACCTTTTTGCCAGACTAACATAAGTGACATTTGTTCAAATGGCACTTATGATAGTCTGGCAAAAAGGTATCGATACTATAATTTATAAAATATTTGTTACATTAGTCTATAAATATATTATGAATATATAACAACTGTTACTTTCTTTGTAATTTGTCACAAAATTATACGAGGTACTTTCTAAACGAAGCAATTGTAGTTTGTTTTTCTGTACCTTACAAAAATATAATTTATAGAAAAAGAGTTTGGTGTATTATTTTTCCAAGTTTAAATATTTAATAATCAATAGAATTTTCAAGTTTTTTTTTAGCGAAATTTACAAGAGTAATAAAGTTTATATTAAACTGATTAAAACTTCCTTTATTAAAATGATTATTTATGTGATAAAAAATTTGATGTTATTGGAAGCTTTTATATTTGTTTAATATACAGTGAAACAATAGTTTTTGTTTCTCCTGTAAATTTGTATAGAAAAACTTTATTTCTGAATCCATGTTTGAATTTCCCGCCCTAAAGCATTTTTAATTTTCCCGCTATTTACTAGTGGCGCCATCATAGACTGGTTGTGGTTACAATCGCCCAAATAACTTTTACCGAACAAAAAAAATACATTGAGTTACACGTCTCGCTGGATTGTCTCTGATAATACCAACCAGAAGTCATACTTTTCAATGAGAAGTATCAAGACTTTAAATTTTCAGGTTTGTAAAGCATTGGCATTACTTAGGTTAAACCACATAAGGGATCTTAACACTTCTAGTCCTGGTTTTTAAAACCATTCCTTGCCGCATTCTGATTATCATTTGTAAATTGTTTAATCAATTAATGTACAAATATTTGGGCCCTTTAAACCTTAAGCCTGCCCTAATAAAAATATTTAGGCCCTTTATCCTTTAAACCTGATCATGTAAATCAATATTATGGTCTTTTACTCCTTACGTCTGCCCATGCAATAATAGTTGGCCCATTTATACCTTAAGCCTGTCCATATAAAAATATTTGGGTCACTTATTGTTTAAGCTTGCCCATGTATAAATATTTGGTCCCTTTAAGCCTGCCCATTTAAAAATATCTGGACCCTTTTTACTGCTTAAGTATATCTAAGTAAAAATATTAGTCATTTTACCCTGTATGACTGCCTATGTAAAAGTACTTAAGCACAGACGACTAGACGATATATTTTTTTTATTTTTGCACTTATGGGTAGTCGGAAATGTGTTAAAAAGTGGGTTTAAGACAAAATTTTTGTTGACATGAATGTAATACTCGGAAATGTATATGACAATGAATAAATTTTAAAGTGTATTGACTGGTTTTTACCTTTGGTAAATCAATGAAAAACTGATTTGCCATCTTCAATTTGGGCGTATCACTGCACACTTTACACCGAGGATTTTTCAATTCTACTGCATTCACTAATTTACCACAACCATCACATTGATCGCCCCTTGCATCTTCATAGTTACAACCCGGCTGAGGACAACCACCTTCCACAAATCTGTCTGCCAAAAATTTGTTGCATTTTTCACAATGTAGCTGTTCTACAGACTCGGTAAACATAAACCCGTTGCTGTTGAGAGTTAAGAACATGTCTTGGCAAATTCTAAAAAGAAAAATGCACATAAAACAAATCATTTTGAAAAGTTTAAAGTTTTGTTATGTCATAAGTTGCTCTATAATTGAGAAAGCGCAGAAGAAAATTATATGGTGTTTAAAAATTGATATTAATTTGATCTAGAAAAGTCAATTTATTAAAATACAGGAAAGGAACATTTACTTTACTTAATTTAATAAAATCAAAATATAAATTCGGAAGTATAACTCAATTATTATCAACAAACTGATACATTATTATTGCTTACTGTGTTTGTTCTGGAGTTGAAGTCCTACCAAAATGATCAAAGCTTATATTAAACCATTCATAGATTTCTTTATGAATCTTGTGATATTTATCACAAATTTGTTGGCACGTCAAACGCTCTTCTAGAGCCTTAGTTTCAGTTGCTGTACCATATTCATCTGTACCACAAATGTAAAGGGTATTGTTATTGCATAATCGAGAAAATCTGGCAAAAACATCAGCTGATAATACACAGCCAATAATATTTCCAAGATGTGGGACATTATTGACATATGGTAATGCTGATGTGATCAGGACATTTTTTTCTCCAGTGATGGGTAAACTAAAAAAATAAGCTTATAATAAAGTTATAAAACCAGTTATTTCCAACCAATTTCAAATACTTCATCATTTATTTACTTACACTGGTGTTTTGGCATTTTTCAACTTGGATTGCTTAGTAACATCTTTTTTCCACGATTCTTTAGCAAATGCAAATTCTTCACTAGTAACTGCTTCATCAACAGGTTCCTTCTCATTTTGAGGGGATCCTTTTTCCTTCTGATTATCATCCGATATTGATAGATATTTTGCACCAGCAAGTAAAGCATTATAAGTTAAAGAACTGTCTAATTTAAAACTTGACAGTGCTTCCTGAAATTTAATGAGATATTTTGTATTTCTCTAATAATGTATTCATTCTTAAATCTGAAGACCCAAAGTGTTTGTGAAATAATAATTAATAATTTAAGACACAATCATTTAAAAATACCATACATATTTAAATGAATAAATAGAAAATATAATTCAAAATAAAAATTTAAGACACACTCAAATAATATTTTTAATGTTATAGTACTTTTCGTTTTTGGTGTGTACTTGTAAGAGCAGCTTTAGATTAGACAATTTCAATGTAAGAGGGGTGTAAGACATTTTAAAATGATTGTGCATGTGCCTCTACAATTCAATCAGCTGTTGTAAGTTGAATAAATTAGGACTGATCAAAGTTGGGTAGTATGTGAATACCCGGTATTCTGAATTTTATTCAGAATACATTTAGCTGGTATTCGAATACATTTGTATTTTCTGTATTCGGTATTCGACTGAATACTTTTTTAGTCAGTACTCGGTATTTTGGATTCAGAAGACCATTTTTGAATTCTAGTATTCGAATACCCACTTTGTATTCGAATACGGTTTGATTATTTCTATGAATATTGCGTTACGTGTTACGTTTAACTGAACTTAAGCGTATTAAAACACGTTCTCGGTGGTTGTGGACGGCGCAGTCGCAGTGCTTCTGAATTCGCGATGTCTAATTCACAAAATGCTTGTGAGTGATTTTCCCGTCCACATTGTAAAAATAATACACTCATACATAACAGACAGACAATTTAACGTAAAAATTAACAAGACAATAACAGGACCTTACACGGCACAAGCGGGAGTACCCCAGGGCTCAGTATTGTCGCCCCACTTGTACACCATTATGACCCATGACATGCCAATGGGTAATAATGGGGTACAAACGGCACTATACGCCGACGACATCTGTCTGTTCGCGAACAACAGATCTGCAGAGAGAGCGGTAAGAAAGCTGGACAATCATATCAACAGAGAACTAATCCCCTATCTAACAGGAAACAAAATGAAAATCAACGAGGCAAAATCCGAAAGTATGTTAATCACCAAAAGACGAACACAAGGCATAATGACCCCACTTAAAATCGGTGAACAGGAGATACCGACCTCTAACAAACTTAAATACCTCGGTTTCCTGTTAGACAGGGGATTAACTTACAATTTACACATTAATGACAGAGTGGCTAAAAACCACGCGGCAATCAAAACGCTTTACCCCCTTCTCAATAGGAGAAGTCGAGTCACTCTGTCAAACAAAGTCCTAATGTTTAAATCAATCCTACGTCCTATTCTCACATATGGTTGTCCAGTTTTTTGCTCAATGGCAAACTGTCATTTCAATAAACTGCAAATAGCTCAAAACAGGTGTCTTCGGCTAGCCCTGGGCTATGATCGTTATGCCAGAATCGCAGTAATGCACCGACAAACTGACACACAACACATTAAAGAATACATACTAAAAACAGCAGATGATTTCTACAAACGATGTCTCCCCGATGATGTAAAGGATAGTATCCTAAACATACACCGAGGGGACGGAGTGCGTAGAAAGCACGGCTGTATACACGCAAAACTTAACATATACAGAGACAGATGACAATAAATTCAGACAGTAACTGACAACATTCCTCCTTAACGATCCCAGACAATCTAACAACAGCTCACGACGACTAGGTATTTAAGCATACTGGTCGGAAGGCGGACTGAACGGTAGACTGGCCAGCGAGGCAGCAGACGCGAAATCCGCGAAAGCTGCCACGATGGACGGTGTATCGAACACTCTACCTGTGAGTTGTACTAAACAACCACAGACGATTACAAACAAACGCACATACAAGGACAACCCTGTTTTTTCAGCTTTTTCAGGGGACAAAAACAATAACAAAATACACGACAAATCCTTAAATAACCTCCCATTCCTGATACCAAAAAATCCAAACCCCTTAATAATACCGATTCGGTAAGGAGTAAGGGCTGATATGTTTCCACAATTATTAAGTCGTGGGTGTATTGTGCAAATGGTGGGTATCCTTACCCACCATAGTCCGGAGGGCTCTCGCGAAAAACCCGCCGCTCGGGTTCGGTAGTGTGAAAAATTGTTTATACATACCATGACATGTACATATATTTTATTAAAATGTAAATAAAGATATTAAGTAAGTAAGTAAGTAAGAATTCGCGATGCCGACGATCGGGTGATTGGGGTGCAATGAAGATTAGCTTAGGCTTATAACTCCATAACGGAGTAATTTTCAAAAATTTTGTAAGAGTCCTTTTTTATGTATATTCAAAAAAGCCATCTTTTAAAATTAGTTTTCGAAAATTGCACCGTTATGGAGTTATGGTCCGGAGGCGTATCTCGTGGGACACCCTGTATAAGTAAGTATGTTGTAAGGTATAGGTAATGGGAATTGTTTATTTTTTATCAAACAATAAGTTTGTGTTTTTATCTGACGGTGCACCAAATAATTTTATTTTAACGTTTTCATTATTTTATCGTTTTATTTATAATTTTTTAATAAAACTTTAAGAAATAAAAATCAACAAATGTTTTTTATTAAACAGTTATTTTATTTAACCTCACTGTGACACTGTGTATCAAAAAATGATATTTCAAGTTTTATTTAACATAGATTTTTAATCCTTTTTTAATTTTTATAAATTATCTACATAAATAATAACCAAGCTTTATGTGCGCACATGTTATTTGTAGTTGGAATATTCATAAAGTATTCATATGTAAATGAATCCAGGTATTCGAATACAGCGGTATTCAAATACTTTTTTTTTTGTATTCGAATATTGATTATTCGAATACAATATACAATTTAGAATACAGTATTCAGGATTCGTATTCGAATACCGGATTTCAGTATTCGACCCAACTCTGAGACTGATCCAATTTTTTGTGTAAGTTTCAGGATTTTGTATTTATTTAATTTTTAGTGATAAAGAGATTACCAATCAAGATCTGATTTACCAACATAAACACAAGATTTGCAATGTGTTAGTAAATACACCTCAGTTGCAATTTGTCAACGTAAAAATAGAATTAGAGCTGTGTCTGTTAGATTTTATATAAATGGTGGAATCGACAAACTGACCAGCATGCTTGGAAACCATAACATCATTTCATCCCTGCAGGAGTCATTTTCAGGCCCGTCAGCGTACTTTTACCCCTACTTGTGGATAACCTGCTAAATGATCTCTCTTGGCAGGGGGTGGAGTTCGAATGCTAGAGGGAGTAGATGTCTGTTAACCCCCACAAAACTGCTATCGTCCCCTTCACCAATAGAAGAAAGATCAACAAGTTTTGACAATCTATCTTGGCCAGGGAAACAATTCTTTCTGGGGAGAAAGTGAAATATGAAACCCTTTCAGGTGGAATATGCATTCTACACGGATGGCTCCGAAACTGAAAAAGGAGTAGGAGCTGGGTTCTCTGGCCACGATCTTCCAAGCACAAATGATAAAAGAGGAACCGAATTTGAGTTCATAAGACCAGAATCATTCCTGCGCATTGCAAAGAGTACTGCCAAAGGAATTATCTCAAAATGGATGGAGGGTGTAACACTCCCGAACTGGAAAGATACCAGGGACTCTCATTAAAAAGCACTTATACTCAACCCTTACATGAACGGCACTGCTCAGATCCCTGAATGAAGTAGGAAATATTTAAACATTATCATGGGACAGATGACAGGACATTGTCATCTAGGTAACCACATGAGAAGGATAGGTCTGCAACAAACATTGAACTGTCGATTCTGCAGTGTAGAAGGCAAATCTGCAGAGCACATTCTATGTAACTGCTTGGCTTTGAAAATAATTAGGTTTCAGATCTTGAAATTCACCCAAATGGAGCCTACTGACTTAAAACTGATCCCATACCCAATTCAACCATGGCCTTCATCAAAAGGTGTGGTTTGTGAACGAGTGGTTTATAAAAAAAAAAAAACTAGAAATAAGAAATTTACCAAAAGAAAAACATAGAAATTTAGAAATATTTGACTGATATGGTAATTCGTTATACTTTTTTTATTAATTAGATTGTTAAATTAACAACTTTGTTTCTGTTAAGTTGTTTAAATACAATTTCAACAAACATTTTAATAAACTATATTTTAAAACATTAATAAGAATATTATTGTGTGATGTATGGTTTATGAGTTTACATTATCAAAGAGTAACAGAGTAACTTAGAAATAAGAAATAGTACTATAAATATAGGCTAATACCTACACAAAAACATACTCTATCCTATATTGACCTTTAAAATTGCAAACCACAAAAACTTTATCTCTATTGTTGGTATATATTTCATCATAAGAAAAACCCACTGATGAAATTACACATTTATTTACTCAACATAAAACAACATTTTTCAACAATTCCTGTATTTTCCACCTTTGTTTACTCAATTTATCAACTTATGAGCACATTTTATACTTTAATGTATTTTTGAAATGTTAATTAATTCTGGAATATATTTTGTGTAGAATACAATTTCATAAATTTTAATCATTTAAATATTTAAAATATACCTAATTAATTTTTAATTAAAGATGCAATACATTCAAGATTTTCTACATTTTCAAACTACAAATAAAAATGTAAGTACTTTTATGAAGCAATGAATAGTTTGTCCATGCACAATAAAATTTACATTAAAAAGATGCAATTTAAGTACTTTTATGTGCCAATAAATAGTTTGGGAAATTGGATGGAGTCTGAAAGTACTCAAAAAGATTTACTAAATAACCTTGCTCCAATTTCGACCTCCAGTTAATGCTTTGAAAATGATTTTAAAATAACAAGTCAGCATTTTTTATTACAATAAACACATTGAACTTGGTGACAACCAAACACAGCCTCCAGACATATAATGTCCTGCATCTTACTTAAACAAGACTAGTAGAATCACTCGAGCAAAAGCTGACAAAACGAGTTCCTCTCTGCTCTGATTAAAAACCCAGCAGGTATTTGACAGGTGATGTAGCTCTGTCACTGTTCATAAGAGAGACAGCCAACACTTATTTCCTGATAATTCGTCAACGAAATAATGTTCAAAGACCAAAGGCCACAGTTGAAGTGACCCACCCAGCTCCTTATTTTACGAATGGTGGCTAAGGTGTGTAGAATATGAATGTGGAACTTTCAGATTCTTCCCATGACAGACTTTTCAATTTTATATTATATTTATTTTCTCTTTAGAGGTTTAAAAATAGTTTGTAATCTTGTAGTTTAAGCGTGTATTAATGTGCATGCTCTCAATAGCCTGTACTAACATTTAAAATTTGAATTTTACACCTGCCAGGTGCCAGATTTCTATTCTTGTTTTGCCACTTGCTCTTTAATTTTTAAATGTGAGGCCCAAGAAAATATGTGTTACACAAAAAAATACATGAAAATTATATAAAAATAAATGAATATTTTTATTAATTTCTAAAAGTTCTCCTTGCCCTCAAAATATATATTTGACAGCATCTCTGATAACTCAAAATAACTTTTTCCTAGATTTAAATATTTTGTATAATATAATCCTGGCAACTCTCTGTAATGATTCTGATTGCCAAAGTGAATCAAAGCAGCAATGGGGCGACATGTGAATTAAAACCTGTCTAAACTACAATATTTTCAATAGTTTTCTTTATTTCATAGAGGTAATGTTGAAAATTTATTTGAAAATTTCCAAAGAATTTATCTACTTTTGAGCATAACACTGATAGTTTTTCAGAACTTTAAAAGGATTATATCTATTTAAAATAATAATGAATTACCTTAAATTCTTGTTTAACTTCTAAAGCATCAACCCATGTTGTAATGTTTGTCAAAGAGGCAAGATATTCTTTGAAATTTTTTTGGCAAATTCTGAGAGGATATATTGTACTCCAAATTGATACATCTGCTGCTGTAATATTATTCTGTAACAAAAAATTGTAAGAACTAGGTGTATTTTAAAACAAAATAACCACAACTTACTCCAACTAAAAAATTCTTATTTTGAAGATACTCATTTAAAAATTTTAAACTTGACACTAATGCAAGTTTGATACTTTCCTTTCTTGAGGAACCCCCAAGCACATGAGCTAATTGAGGCGATAAAGTACTAGCTTCCCAATCTAATAAATTAGTAACTTCTATAAAATTATCATCAGTTTTTGTAATGAAATAACATATTGCGTTATTTGTAGAGAATAGTATTTGTTTATCTATCTCTAGGCATGGTAAACGTTTAGGTTGTGGTAGACAGTTATCTAAAAAAAACAAATCATACATGAAGTATATAATCAAAAAATTTATATGAGATAGGTACTTCCCACGTGGGATTTTTCAACTCACCATGCACATTAACTAATTTTAAATCGACTACTTGTTTAGCTAAATTTTTAGCTATTAATAATTTTAAAGTAGCAGGATTATTTTCATTAGTATATATATTTACCATTTTGTCTTTAGTTATATAAACGACCAATAGTTTCAACACACCGCAATATTTTAACAAGATAACAACACACAAGTCTGACACAAGTGAGGAAATGTGGAAATTTCACAAATATGTTTATGACAGGTTAATTTACGAAATTCCCGGTGCAGTGACTCATTTAAGCAATGTCATTTTTGACATTAGGAGTAGTTCATTTGAACATATTTGTGATTTTAAATTAAACAAAGACAGTCTACGTGGTAAAAGTTTAATAAACAAAGATAACAATTTGTAAATGAACCCGTTCATAAATTGATTTATTTGACTCATATATTCGGACATCTCCTTTTTCTCTACATAAATATATTAATCCATCTCACTCAATTATTAGTGTAAAAATTAAAGTATCCATTCATCCAAAAGAGCGGCAACTTTAAATTTATGACCATATTTATTTGCAGGCTATAGAAAATTGTAGGCAAAATCAGCAGAACGATGAACTAATATTACATTTTTAAATAAGAAATATTCATAAATGTAATGTGTACATTTCTAAATATTTATATAAATGAATATTATATTAAAAATATAAAACTTTAATAACAATTTTATTCTTTTTACCTACAAACCTGTTTACAACTACGCATGTGCAAAATCAAAAATATCAATCACAATCGCGTGGGCCGCCATTTTGATAAGGTGCTTTGTGTTTTAGTGGTAAAGTGAAATTATTGTAATGATTAATGTATTTGATAATACTTAATCCTTTACAATGAATTCTTCTGTTTATTAAGGTTCGTATTCGCGTAATTTTTCTATGTATTAACCATGCTTTCAATGTTTTACGACGATTTTTATACCAAAACATTATAAGCGGCTTCTAGTTTTGTGTTTGTAAACAGTTGAAGACAAAAAAGTTGAAATGCGCTTATGCACACCAAATTATAAATGATGGAATTTTTAATTATTTAGGAAATTAAATTATTTTGTTCCTAATACTTTTATTTGTAAGGCGGGAGAAAAGTTTACGCCTATATTTAACACAGGAATTTTTCCTTCATTTGAAAAGTCGATAAGGTCCATTTTGGGGTAGTTTGGCCTGTTTGTCGCTTACAATATTTTTTTTTTATTTTTGGCCTGGAAATATTCGTCAGTAAATTACAAAAGGAATTTGTTTGATGCGACTATTAGAATTACATCATTCCGATGGAAATAAAATCAATATCGCACAGGTGATATTCATTATCTGCGAATGCATGCATCTTATTCGAATTTCATTACCTATGTAGATATTTTTTAATTATATTAAGACTTATTAGGTATAATTTTTGTAATTAGAAAATTTGTTGTTATTAAATCGCATCAAGTTTTTACTGACATGAACATAATATTGATTCCTATAGGAATTTTCCATTTAATTATACTGATAAGTGTATTTGATATAGGTATTTGGTATTTATTTTTTTTTAATTTGTATAATCATTTAATTGAAAATCTTTCATTCCAAACCTGAAAAAATAAAAATCACTTTTATTATACTTCTTTCTAGGTAGTTTACAATTGTGTACTTATAAAGTTAGTTTTGCAGTATGTACCTATTTTAACTGACTATAGAGTAAGTGTTCTGTGCTGACTATTGCCTACCAAAGTTAATAAAAATTTACATAGGAACAAACTATTTTCATTTATCTAAAACAAGGGTTTCCAAACTTTCTAGCCTTGGGACCATAGTGATTACTCCAGTAATAAGTTCCAAGGGCCAAAATTTGCACAGCAATACTAACAAGCCATTAGCTGTGGTAGACTGGATTGATGACACAAATAATTTATTACAATTTATTATACTGGGCGACCATAAAATTTGTGATCTTTTGAATGGTTCCCAAGGGCTATGATCATAGCAAGGGTCATACCCAACCAGCACACATCTCTTATAACCTTTGAATTATAGAACATTCAATTCTTATAAAGGTTTTATAGTCGTTTCAGAAATTCAATATTGACTCATAAATATAGCAAATGATGCAATTTAGCTGTTGAAAACAAAATAGCACTATAATATTGTTGTATAAATATTCTTACAGCATATTTATTATATGTTATACATTTTTCTCATAAGAGATATTTCTTAAGAACAGCTATATGTCGTATCCTCGGTCGTATCTATAACAATGTCTGTTTTAAGGCTTTTATAACGGTTTTATATTTGTCTTTAGTAACATTTTAAAGGTAAGTATAAATATAAAAACATGCAAATTTATAAAGCATGCTGTTTGATATAACAATAAGATACATTGGTTATATATTCAACACTTATAAGGGAAGTCGCCTCATTTTCTTGTTAAGGCAATTTGTGCAACATGTATAAAGCAAAATTGTTTCAACAAAAATAAAATACTCTTGCAGCTACAAAAAACTATATTTAAAAGAGCAAACATAGGAATTACAAAGTATCCTTTAAATGTCTTTATTACTGCTGTATTAGTAACATCAATGAGGTAAAATGCTGTCAAAGAACACAAAAATATTCCTGCCGCCTGTTTAATAGAACTAATTTGAAACATTTCATCATTTCTATTTTAACATGTTATTGGATTGTTGATGTTTGAGTTAACAAAATGGACATCTTACGCTGGAAACTGAATCTTGGCCCTTTCAATTGTTTCCACAATCTCAAACATTTTAACGCACCACAACTAAGAACAAGAATCACAACTAAAAACGAGAATAAAAATGCTGGATTAAATCTAACTTTAAGCTGATAAAAGTAAATATATTGGTAGATCGACACATTATGGTTCTCTGGAAAGCAAAATGACTTTATTGTGGTGTTATTGCGAACAACTATAAAACCATTTGGCATTTACAAAAACTATTAGCACTAGTACAGAGCAAAATGACTTCATTGTTGTGTTATTGTGAATATTTATAAGACCATTTGGCATTTACAAGAACTATTAGCACTGATTTAGAGCAATTTCTGCTGTCTAATAGTTTCAAGAGAGCAAAATAGATTTATAGTGATGTTATTGTGGACAACTATAAATCTTTTTGCCATTTTTGATGACTATTAGACAAAATTGTTCATCTTAAGTAATAAGATTTTTATTATGTAGGCAATTCATTATGTCAGCATCCTCTAATTAAACATTTATATGAGGTGTTGTTAAAAAGTACCAAAATTGCAAATGAAAAAATTTACTAGAAATGAGCCCACAGAAAATAAGCCCGAGAACAAAAAGCATATACTATTGATAGACATAGTAGTGCAGTAAAAAAAAAAAAAAAAAAAAAAAAAAACGTTTCACAAATAAAAAAATCAAAGTGAAATATTTTGATATCTATTAATATATAAATTAATTTGTATTCATTTATATTAATTTAATAATGTTATTAATATTAATTATTAACAGATAATATCAAAATAATATTTGTCGAACAGCAAATTTTGACTGTAATAGAAACTATTAGTTCTTAAAAATCTGGTAATTATATTAAATTATGTTAAATAGTACAGGATTAGGTGTACCACATTTGAAAGTAACCTAGTCAATTGGCAATAATTTCTTGTTTTTTTTTTATGGAAAAGTTAGACAAATTGCTTTGTTGCTGCTTTTAAAGCATAAATGCTTTTTGTGCAACTAAAACCTTCGCCATGTTTGAAATGTAAAATACATGAAGGTCAAAGATTAAAAAGAAAAATTTTGGTGAAATAATGTGATAATGGTCTGTAAACACCAGATACTAAATTATTACTTATTAGCAGGGTTCGAAAATATCATGATATTTTTATAAATATATCACATGATATATATCCGATATATATCATTTTTAAAATTTAAAAAACAGTACTGTTTCTTGCACAAACTATATTTTAAATTTTAACACAAACATACTAACAAAAACGGATATTCTAAACAACAAAACCGTTTTTTCTAACTCAAGTTAAGAAGAAAAAACAAAAATAATTAATAAAATAAACAGATTTTAACATTATTTTGTTTACATTAATATTTTAACACAAACACACATAAATTGCTAGTTATTATACTTTTATACAGGGGCGTATTGATACATTTTCAGATATTCAGAATGGTAGAGAACATTTTTAATTTAATAAATAAAATTATCGAATATATCGGATATACAGGGTGGCTCACGCTCAACGGGACGGAGCTTTATGGAAAACGACCAAAGATATAAAAAATTCGTTTGGGAGGAATACGTAGGTTACAAACGGCTACAATTTAAAATTTGTTAGATGTATACAGGATGTCCCACATAAATGAAAAAAAATTAGTTCATTAAAAATTATTCAAACAAGAGTAAACAATTAATTTCTGGGAGACTTTTTTTCCTTAAAAATTCAAATAAATCGAAAACTAATAATAATAGTAATAGGGAACCTTTAGTTAACTGACATTATTTTTGATGTAGTTTTTAATTCTAAAATAAAAAACAGGGTGTTCCATTAAAAATAATATAACTTTGTATATTTTCTCTTATGTGGGATATCCTGTATACATCTAACAAATTTTAAATTGTAGCCGTCTGTAACCTACGTATTCCTCCCAAACGAATTTGTTATATCTTTGGTCGTTTTCCCCATAAAGCTCCGTCCCGTTGAGCGTGAGCCACCCTGTATATCAAGGTATAAATATCATGATATATATCACTTGATATATATCCTCCGAACCCTGCTTATTAGTAAGAATAATTTAATCTATTTCTTTTATTAATACATTTTACTTTCTTACATAAAAATTTATTTTTATTTTTATCATTCAAGTTGAATGTTTAGGGTGGGGGCGTAAAAAAATCGCCATAAAATAGTATAGACTTTCACATTAAAGTGAACCTCATTGTAAAATTTGCATCTCTATGTTAAAGATAAGGTAATATATTTTCCTACTTTTTTGTCATGTCTCATAACTCTAAAGTATATTGCAAGACGCCATATCAACTGAAACATTTTTAAATTTAGACACTGCCGTAATCTAAAGAGTTCACAACAATTTTGTTTTTGGAGAATATATAAACAAAACTTTTTTTGTATAACCTGTTTCAGGCCATACAATAAAGATTAAAAATGTATTAAAGGAGGATAAAATTACTTATAAGTCTTATTGCTTTTTAAAGGTTATATATAGGTAAATGTAGCGTCAAAGTGTTTACGGTTCCAAATTGGTTGCAAACTATAAATGTGTCTTTAAAATACTATTTGAGATTGCTTTATTAAACGCTTGTAAGTATCTACAAATAAGATTTATTATATTTTGCGGCACATTACTAAAGTATTAGGGAACTAAAAAACTTTTTTGATTTATAATTTGGTGCCCATTTTAAGCTCATAAGAGTTGTATAAAGCCTCTAAGAATATCTACAAGTAAATTTATAAATCTTATTCTCTTATAAACAGTTGCTTTTAGAATATTCTTAAAGCTTTTATAAACCCGTCATGTGCTACTTGGGTAGTTTAGTTCGACACATACCATAAGATAAACTTGAAAAAAAAAAAAACGGCGCATTTCTACGTTATCAAAATAATAGACAGTGAGAAAAATTCAATTATAATAATAGAAAAATTTCTTATTTTTATGCCCATCAAAGGATAACCATTTTTGTTATTCTCTCTAATTTAATGTAAATTTTAAGGTCACCTTCAATTTTATTTATTGTATCAGTCTTATTTCTATGAGGTGGTGATTTAATTGCTGTCATACCAGTAAGTTCTTCAAAGCTATTCCTAAACAAACCTTGGGAAATCGAGTTAGATGTCCTACTAAAATAAGTTATTAATCTAGCTGTAGTCATATAAAATATAATTAAACAACACACATAGAATAATAATATTAATAACAAATACTTCAATGCCTAAATTACCTACTTACATCTAACATATATTGTTTTAGTTTACGTTTGAATACATTAATTGATTCTAATTTTTTTAGATATTTCTTAGCAATTTTTGCTAAAGGGACATAATCAGTCAATTTATCCTAAGTTTTATAATAAAATTTGATAATCAAAATTTATGGCCGATATATGGCCCAGTTCGTATGTCGCGACATGATTCAATTCCCGATAGAAGCAATCTTTTTTTATTTTGGAAAAATATGACAATTGTTTATTTATTTTAAATTCATTTTATTAATTATAATATAACCCCTACAGTTAATATTTCCGCTATTTATTTTGTATTATTTTGACTGTTCAGAAAAAAAAATTGTAGGTAGTCATCTTTAATAATAAAATTATTGTTTTATTGAAATAAAAAAAAATTACCCTATTATCCCTCGTTGAAATCCGCGCCTGTCCCTTCATACATCAACTCATAGATGGTAGGTTTACATTCAACAAATTGCATTCGTCGCTACCCTTAATATTGCATCAAATATACACTAAACTTTCATTTTTGATTTTTGTTACTACTGGAGACGTCACTGTAAGCGGCACTGCCTTAGTCGGTAAGAAAAGTCTTCCAACAAATAACTACGTCACATGCATTATTTACTTCTTGTCCACTTCTCATTGGTTACCGCCATACGTGGCTACCATTTTCATTGGTCATCGTCACAAGCGTGACTCAAGCTCGATTAACTACTTGACTCCTTCTTCGCGCCAGATCTTCAATACCTCTCAACGAAAACATCACAGCGTTTTGCGACGTTAAAAAAGGCGACGCTTTGTCCGCCATCATGAAACAACTCGTATATTAAAAATGGCTTAAATAACAAAGTTCCTAGTGAAATGCTGTAAATAGTATTTAGTCTTGCACCGTGTAGTGAAAAATAAAATCATCCCATTGGTGCTTAAAGTGAGGTGTTAAATCAGAAGGTGATATTTTAATCCTGTTCTACATCTCCCAGGCCTATGGATCGCTCAGGTATTTTCAAACTTATCATTAATGCAGTTCAAGATTTTGCCAAGGGCCGAATGTCGGTCCTAACTTGTTTATTGTAGCGGAAAACTGTATATCGGTCAAACCGCTACAACCACTTATTTTTACCCTATTACACACCTTCTACTTTTCATATTACCTGTAATACGAAGTCACATAAATTAAAATATCAACCCGCGGTTGTCGGTTTTACTAGTCTAAACTATAAAAAACGTAGGAAATAAATGAAGTAACAAATATGATATCGTTAACAAAATTTAATTAGTAGGGAATATTATAGAGCAGGGTTGGCAAACTTTTCTGTATATAAGATCTACTTTTTATCTTGTCCTAGGCGTAGTCTAAGGGGAAAGAAGGGGTGTGAAATGCATACTATGTTTATTGTTTATACACTGTTTCAGTATAAGGTGCGTTCCAACGAGGTATGGGTAGATAACTTTTGATATCGATATTCCGTACATTCGGTACCTAAAAAATTCTATTTTCCGAAATTTTTTCAAGATAGATTTTTACTAACTTAAAATGCACTTTAATTTTTTTATCAACTGCAATGTATAAGTTGTACGATTTGTTCTAAATATGAAAAAGTTGTTATAAAAATGCACAGAATAGCTGATAATTTGATTTCAATATTTTACTTTCGCGTTTTTTTTTTGCCAGGAAAATTTATCATGAAGGAATAATATGACTTATTTTTTGCTAATCTATCAATAGCTCGTTGAGTACACCTCATATTGAAATATAGATATACTGCTTATCTATATACCTACGTAAAAAAAACAACAACAACAATAATAATTTTTTAAAGAGCCAAAAAACTCACGTCCAAGGGAATTAAAAGAACATGGATAATTTAATAATTAAAAGTAGCTACAGATAAAAACAGATTTAGAATTTACTTTGCTGCCTTAACATTAATGGGAAGACTGAGTTTGCATGTCTCTAGCCTGTGGAAATTTTTCCATATGGGAATTTTTACTGTAAAAATATGGAAATGGGAAAAAATGAAAATACATTTAAAATATGGGAATTCTTGACCACGTTGATTTTTGGACAAAAACATTAAAATAAACTTAAAATATGGTAATTTAACACGACTACGTTGTTTTTGGTTGATCTTGAGAGTACTCATTACCCGCAATCTTCTACTATTTATTCTTTGTGATTTTCTGAGTTATTGTTTTGTGTGTTGTACATGTCTGGAGGTCGATTCTTGAGTTGTAGGAATCTTTTCCTATAGGAATTTTTGACATTTATAGGAAAATCATGACATTTTCTAACAAAACAGTGTTACATTTAAAATAAAGAAAGAACAAACTATTTAAAAGGTATTCGTTTAAAGAACAAATTAGTTGTTAAATGTTTAAGGTTGACACTGACTGACTGATTTTTAACTAAAAAATATATTTTTTTACAATTTTAAGCTATTGCATAGCTTTTATCGCGGGCTTTGAGCGCGGCGACCGAATCAAGAAAAAAAAAACGAAACCGTAACGAAAAAAAATTTAATTTGAAAATGAATAATGATCCACAAGAATCCACAACAAAATATGGGACCACCATTGACGCGGTATTTTCCAGATATTTAGAGGATATCAAGTCTCAAACTTATGTTTCTTATTTCTTATATAGTTTCAATGATAAAAATTCCTGAATACCTACATGTATTGTAAGATAATAAAATATTTTAAACAATATTAACTTTTCATTTATTCAATAAAAGAAAAAAATTTGTTTTCTTATGGGTCACCACGCTCAAAAAGTGTAACTTGAATTAATATCAAAGAAAAAAAAATACTGCATAAATAAAATAAATAATTATAATTGCATACGTTGATAAAAAATGCTATGCAATAGCTTTACCGCGGCAGTCTCCGAGTGCCACACGTATTTTTTTTTACCAACGAGTATTTTTATTTTACTATTTTTTTACCAGATTATTAGGTAGGTACTTTTATTTTACAGTGGTTTATTTAACGTTTATTCTGTTATTTTTAAGTTTAAATACGTTTTTATAAAATAAAATGTATATTTTTTAATCAGGAAAAATTGTAGAAATTATAAAATTTTGTGTAGGAAAAATGGGATTTTTTTTGCGCGTGTGTGGGAATTTTGTTAAAATTGGTTAGCATCACTGTGTAACACAAGTCAAAATGTATTGTGCTGTGTGGGCGGAGATCACAGTGTCAGACTGTCAGAATTCTAGGAATGTATGACCTTGGCAAATTCTCAGAATGCGTTAAACTATTGCTAGAAAGTTTTGTCTTCTACAATCACTTCAAAATACACGGAATTTCACCACAGACATTGCGAGCGATCAACAATCGACCAAAATTGGCCTCACGGTCGACTTGTTGGCCAACCCTGTTATAGAGGATCAAAAACAAATGGAAAATTCTTTCATTCATTTTTTTTTTATAGAAATAGGGGAAAATAGAAAATAAAATCAATAACTTTAATCTAAATAATAAAATACCATACCAGTTGGAATCAGAAGTCGATGTTTCTAGAACCAACAGAATATTTGGAAGTTGAAGAATTAATTTTGAGTCTTTAAAACAAAGTTTCTCCAGGAATGTATTAAATAACAACAATAATATATTATGTACCAAGGGACTAAAGTGCCACTTTTAATTCCGAGAGTGATTAAAACGCACTTTAGTCTCGTGGTACATACGCTATTTTTTGTACCCAAGGGAGTAAAAGTGGCACTTCAATCCCTAAAATGAGGGAGTAAAATGCATGTTTTAGTCCCTGAGGTACAAAAAAGTAATTAAATTAATTAAATCGTGTATTGTAAAACCTTTTGCACATAATATACAAGTACTTATATTTAATTTAAAATTTCTAACATCAAATGTTCCAAGTCAATTTAAATGAAGCTGTGTTATACCAATATATAAATCTAATACTAAAGACAAAATGATAATTTATCGACCAGTTTCAATAATAAACAATTTCTTAAATATATTCTATTTTTTTTTTAATGTTTTGATATTAACATTAATTTATCATATTTTAGTTTTTCATTTGTTAGTACTCTTCTGAGTTAATTTTTTTTTTCCAGGATAAATGGATGATCACAATGTGGTTACGTAGCGAGAAACGAAACAGGGCTTTTCATAAATTTTCTTTACCCCTAAATAAATCCAGAAAAACGGTTAGGAAAACTGGCTGGGTTCCCAAATCAAGAACCGTCTCATTGTACAAAAGTTGCATTAAAACTACAAAAAAGAAATCTGTAAAAGGCAATGAAACTCAAAAAACCAAAGTTTCAGACGAATGCAAGGAAAACTATCAATCCCAAGTAGTCCCAGAGCTATATGAAGAAGGAAGTAAACTGGAAACATTAAATAATGTTTCTACTCCCAGTGTTAATGAGCTTTCCGTACCTCCTAGGTGTTATGAATATTACAACAGCTCCAGTTCCGGTACTAGTTCTTATGAATCCCAGTCTGAAATGATTAACTCAGACCTTCCTAAAGAGATTGAATACTCAACCATCGAATTGAATACAATAGAAAACATGAATTATGCCGAAAAAATGCAATTTCACATTACTGATAAAAAATCTTGTGAATATCAAAAGGATAAATATCCATACAATATGTTTGCAGAAAAGATTTGCCAAAGCATGTATTATGAATATCCTACTATGAAGAATGAGTACCCTGAATTGCAAATAGACATCAATGATCTTAACAATGTTAATACGCAAGAATTCACTAATTTGTTAGATGAAGAAATGGCAAAAGAGGAAAACATCCAAAATGTCTATGACTATACAACCCTATATTCCTCTAATATACCTGAAAATCACATGATTGCAAGTGTACAAGCACCAGAAGTAGAGAGGTTAGACAGGCAACCAGAACATATTGAAGTTGAAGACACTTGGGATGCTTTTGATCCTTATCTTTTTATCAAACATTTGCCTCCTTTGACCTGTGAAATGAGATCCAAATGTCCAGCTCTACCATTGAAAACGAGGTCCAGTCCCGATTTTAGCTTGGTAAGAAATTTAATTTCTAAAAAAAATAACATTTTAAAATAAGAAGTGATCCACAAAAAATGTTTTTAAAGTAGTAGTTCTTGGAAAAATTCACGTATCTCCAGCGTACAATTATACTTTTTAAGTATCTACATCTTGAACTATAATGACTATAATGTTTCACATCTATTTTTTTTTAGAGTAGAAACCTATTTTTTTTGTCAAATTTAAATACACCTTTGATTCTAAAAACGGTATATGTATTTCTATTACCCCTAAAGTTGATAGTTTTTGAGTTTTAGTAAAAGTGTTGCGGGAATTCGACCAAATACTGGTTTACTGTCGAGATTCTCAATTTGAGCCTCATTTAAACTTTTTTTTAATAACTAATACTTCTGTTTCTGTTATTACAAATTAAACTTCATTTGCTGAAACTGTCTTAACTTATTTTTTAAAGTTTAAGGACTTGTATCTCCAAAAATGATATTCTGATAGTGATACATACAAAATATAGGTTTCTACTTAAAAAAAATTGGATGGCACCATCCCATCATGACTTATTCAAAACAATATGAAAACTAAATTTAAAATTTGACCTGTCTTAGCATTTTTTATATAAACGATGCTTAAGTTAGATAATTTGAGGTTTCCAAGGGGAATATATGCTCTAAGGGGAATACTGTATAAGTTAATTCTAATGCATAGAATGTGATAAAGAATTTTATTTTTACTCTGTAATAAGTACAGCAATAATAAATTAAGTGATGTATTATTTTTGTTTTGTATTTTTTATATCATTCGCAAATCGCTACAATGACTCTCCTTTCTAGTTCTAAAGTCCATATTTATAGACTGTACTAGGCCAAGTTACTTAGTGATTCTTAGAAACCTTCAAAATAGTGTCGAAAAATATTTTTTTAAACAATTTTAATTTAGGTTTTAGACTTAGATGAAACTTTGGTTCACTGCAGCCTCCAAGAGCTTAAAGATGCCAGTTTTCATTTTCCGGTGCTATTTCAAGATTGTTCATATACAGTATACGTAAGAACCAGACCTTACTTTAAGGAATTCATGGAAAAAGTATCTCAAATGTTTGAAGTGATACTTTTTACAGCATCAAAACGAGTATATGCAGATAAACTTCTTAATTTGCTAGATCCTGAGAGAAAGTGGATCAAATACAGGCTTTTTAGAGAACATTGTGTTTGCGTCAACGGCAACTACATTAAAGATCTCTCCATTCTTGGCCGCGATCTTTCCAAAACTATTATTATTGATAATTCTCCACAAGCCTTTGGTTATCATGTAAGTATCAACAAAAAAATATCAAACAATACCACAAAAAAGTTGAAATCAGTGGCAGCTTGTGGCCAAAATATTGGAGGTTCACAGTGACAGAATATAAATCTCAGTACAGATATAAAAAACTCAGTGTTTATAACTTTCTAAAACTTGGAAAGTTTTTAACTACATCTGTACTGAGATCTAGATCCTGTCATTGTGAACCCCTAATATTTTAGTCACAAGCCGCTACTAATTGAAATAATAAATATGCAAACGAAAATTATTATAAATATATATTATATATATATATTTTTTTTTCAGTTAAATAATGGTATTCCTATTGAAAGTTGGTTTGAAGATAGAAGCGATTCGGAACTCATGAAGTTGTTACCATTTTTAGAGAGTTTGGTAGCAGTGGTAAGTATTTTATTATACATGGTGTTATTGAAATACATGTACATATTAAAAGTGGCAGGCTTATATGATGTTCAAAAATGAATGGACTTTATCCCCAGGTCTTGTAGCTAATTATTAAAAGCCCGTATTTTAATTTAACTACCTCCCCCCTTGTGAAATTCAAAGTAATTCATACTTACTGTATTTGGCGTTTTCCTCTAGTAGTGTAGTGATCCTCTAGTTAATTATTTGATAATATATATACCCACGTTGTGATAATGTTAATTAAAATAAGCCAGTATTCGCTGCAAAGTTTGGTACAAATTTGTGAATGAAATAATGCTCAAATATATTTAACTTAATTTATTTTTGTCCTCAATAAACTCAGTATGTACAAAATTTCTTTTAATATTGGGTAATGAGACATTGTATCTCATCTAGACCTCACATGTGTCCCGCCCAAACAAACAGGCTACAGGCCACTTGCCATCAAATATTTGTAATAAAAACAATTCTTGAGAATAGACAGCAGACGTCCTCAGAATTGCACTATCTTTAATAATTCTTTGTTTCGTCGTTTTATTTTTTATATAGATGCGCTTACTGAGATATCGTCGTTGCAATAACAGACGGAATTCCCTTATGTTTCAGCCTCACCTAAGGGGGTTTTTATGTAGATGTAGTCCTACTAGAATAGTGTTAGTTCAATACCAGCGAACTACCCCTTATGTTCAGATCTACCTACGGTGCGAAGATTGAGCGATAATTATCTAAGATAGTCCAACCCTGTAGTAACATCAAGCATATTCGGATAAATGTGAGTCTAGTCGTCCAATGTGTCATTTACCCCAATCAGCTGAGCCGTTATTTAGTAGATATTTGCGAGGGTTCATTGACAGTTCGGTAGCCAGACTCTTATTATCTTTTACAGTGATATATTAATTTGAAGGCAATATGTCCCATAGCATACACATCTGGACGAGCTAAATGCGATGTCGGCGAGCAACAAATTCCTCAAATGTAAAGGTTGACCATTATTGAATAATAATGAGTTACACAATAATACTCATTATTATTCAACAATAAATTCCCATTTTACAAATTTAATTTGGTTGTTAAGTTATTAACTCACCATCGGATATGCAGACCGTTGGGTGTATATTATCGTCTGTTTCTATTTCAGACATTTTAAATTTTTGTGTTCGGTACGGAAGCGTTATCTTGTGTCGGGATAGTTAGCAGGGACGTTGAGACGTTGGCTTCGGAATTTAGAGCGGCGTGACGGAGAAAGAGCGTCGTGACGCAGAACGCCAACGAAGAAAGGTAGAGAAGTAAGGACGTAAGGCGTCAGATGAGATATTGGGCGTCGGATAAAACAGATGACGTCGAGACTTGGGAACGTTAGGGAAGTAGATCGTTGGGCTAAAGAACGTCGGATAAAGGTAGGATATGAACTGCGTGGGTTTAGGAAAGGTATTGAACTTAAATTATACTAGATTTGAAGAGTAATACGACTGGAGCTCGAAATCAACTCATCTGAGTCTGATTTCTTAATGCCTTTCGAGTCCTCTTAAATCGGATCTTTATACTGGATTTAATTAGTTTTTGTGACGTCAGTGAACGAATTTGGGCGGATAGGGGGTGGCTGATTTATTACTTGCCTTGAAAAGTTTGTGTATCGAAAACAACGTTCCTATTCAAACTGACTTAAGATAAGTGCGTTAAGAGTTTTAATGATTATTACTTCGTGACAATTTATGTTGTATGGTGGGTTTAAATCGAGTTCCCAGACACTTGTAAGAAATTTGATCTCTTACGGCAGGGTTATAGCTATTATTTATTAGGTGTCGAAAATAAGATTTAATTATCTGGGAGATTTTTTATTAAATGAAGGATTTTAAATTTAATAAGAATGCAACTTTTCTTTAATAAAATGGAATTACTAAATTATTAAGGTACCTGGGTGCGGTATTATCCATTATCCTTTTCTTGGTTCTTAAATCAACCTATTCGTTTGTGCTATTGCCGTTCATTACAAAATGTATGAGAAATATTTTTAATTGAACATATCAACTCAACATTGAAACCCTTAAAAAAATCAACCCTGCAGTAATATAAAAACACTATATTAATTTATTTTGATGGAAAATAAAACAATACGCCTCCTTTTAGACCGAAAACACTACACTACAATAATTATTGTTCTAAATGTCGAATACTATTATTAAGACGTTGCTCGTCTTTGTAAAGAACCCCCTCCTCTAGGGTCTAGAAATTATTTTTTTCTCTGTTAACTGTTCAGTTGTGCGTATAGGTTCAGTTTTGCATATAAGTTCAGTTTCTACAAAAGTCATGAAGCTTCCGTGCATTTTGTCCAGTAGTTCCATACACTAAATTCATATTCTGTCAGTTCAATGTTAGTAAAAGATTTAGCGCCAATGCCACAAAACAACACGGGAATGAGTGTACGCTAGTGATTGGGTGATAAAAGTGAAAAGTAAGGACTGGTATTAAAGCTATTACCAAACTGTGACGTGATCACGGTTTCAATATATCCTAAATCTCTTCTTTCATTCAAATATTCAGCGATCGCTGCTGCCCTGATACCTGTGTCCCTTTTTATTTTTTTTTTCTATTTCACAGTTCTATTCATTATTTTGACCTTTATTGACTGTTGTTATGAACTTATAAGATAAAATGTAACATATTTGATGATCATAGTACATAGCCTCTATACTTATTGTTCGCGGGACCGTGGGTTGCCCATGCCTGGTATAGATAGATGAATTGGTTGCATATTAAAGATTATAAAGTCAAAATTCATACATTTTGTGTCATAAGGAACGAATATCATTAAAATGAATTGAACTCCTGTTATAAATAATAATTATTCATGGATTTGTTTCTGATGTAGAATTTTCCTCAAGTTATTTTTCTTTTAGAAGGAAGATGTCAGACCGCACATTCGAAATAAGTTCAAGCTCTTCAGCTATCTACCTCCTGATTAAAGAAAAACTTAAGCATAGACAATCCTGTATGAAAAAAATTTATAAATATATAATACTCTGTACTTTTCTTTAACTTTACGTTAAAGTACTGACTAACTTGAATGTCATGTGCCTTTTTTGGATCAAGACATAAATTATAAAAACTAAGAGTTTCTAATCAGAGTATCTATTATATTCTGGATAGAAAATGCATGTAAAAAAAAATTGTTTAAGAATGTTTTAGTTTTCGATCAATTTTCTATTCAATGTAATTATATTTTTTCTTTTTTCATTTTTAATTAATTAGTAATATTTTTTCTTTTGATATTTTAACTATGATGCAGTTGTAGTAACTGTAGATTGCACTGCTTCACTGCAGTTATTGAAACACTGGAGTGAATCTGATATGGATGGAGAGTAAAACAAAACTATAAATATTTCCTTAGTTAAAGACTTCTACCTTGTTCTTTTAAACTAGTTAAATACAGTTACACCTCTGCTCCAATAATACATGCACTCTGCTCGATGCAGCTAAACTAGTTGAAGGATAAATGATTCTAAGTACTGGTGTAACAACTGTGCTCAACTTTAGTTGACAAAAATTGTTGCATCTATTAAAAATAAATGGAAAACACAAACAGAATCTTGTAGCAAGCAAGAGTTGGAAATAGTGTTGGAATTTAATTACAAATTAGCAGGAACTAATTTTATGGAGCGTTTGTAAATATGGTTAGAAGGTACAAAGAAACAGATTTTTATTATATTAAACCTGTCAGTAAACATATTTTACTAAAATCGATAGTAGATAAATTTTTGCAATTATTTGGAATACATTTCTGGAAAAGAAAAAAAATTGCTTGGAAATTTTGTGCAATAATCGAATATGGATGTGATTAAAAATTGGTTTGAAGAGACTTAAGAAACATCGCTTGTACAGCGTTGGTCAGTATTTTAAAAATTGTTTAAATATATTATAAAATCATTATAGTACTGTATTGTAAACATAATTATATAAAATGGCCATTGTCACTTAGTTAGAATACAAAAAAAAAGGTGGATTCTGTGGCAATGTGCGTTTTTATATATATTTACTAAAACTGTATATAGGGGAGCAAAAATATAGAAGTTAGGTTTTCTTGCCATACAAGAAAAAAATTTCCTGATCGATAGAATAGTTGCAATACTATGCACAAAAATTTATTTGTTGTTTTGTTATTTTAGAATTAGGCATAAGTATTATATCTCCATGTTGTAATGTTTTATATTTTATTACATAAATCAGTGTTTCTCAACCGAAAACTTACAGCGGGCCGGTAAATATCCTTTTTTAATTTTTTAACCAAATTTCTACATTAAACAATAAATAGTTATTTTATTTAGCCAGAATATGGCAACATTATTTTACACTAGCTTTTAAAAAATTGCTTAACAAAGCAAACTAGCTGAATATTTTTTAAATTATCGCGGACCGCGGTTGAGAAACACAGACATACATTTCAAATCCGTAACTAGTATTCAAAGTACTGTTGGAATTTTATTAAGTTAAATTATTTACAATTTGTGTTTTGTTATTTTTTTTAATGTATGATATACCTAAATATAACATAGCGACAGTTAAACTGCAAAACCTTTTACTTCATTTTACAGGTGAGTCTGAACATATTTTAACTGTTATCACTTCCGATTCTGACACCATGGTGTCAAGATTGAAATGGCGGTCTCAGAATCGGGAACCATGTGTTTCTGTAAAAATCTTAAATAAGAATGGCCATCGATTAGTGAATCTAGCCTTAATGGGATTATGCATCCTGTGAAGAAGTTTCAAATACATATTTTAATTATATTACTCAAGGGTATCCGATTGCCAAGAGCAAGACAACTCTCCGGTTTTGATAGCTTGGTAAATTGTCCTGTAGGATATAGCCCAAAAAAAGGAAGAATTGTTATGTGGCAATGGAGTATGAAATAAAATTCTTTAAATTTAAGGGATTTATATTACAAACGTAATATTTAACATGTGAGTCACAAAAACTGTTTCTAAACTAGACCATGATCGACAAAAACAGATATGTACGCTTAGACATTCGTTATTTTTTACATGACCTATTTTAAAAACAATTTTATGGATACCTTCGACCAAATTTTGCAGTTTAACCATCGATAGGTAAAATAAAAAAATAATACTATACATCCAGGGTGGTCCAATAAGCTTGTAACAGTCTATAATAGTATTAAAAACGATAGGTATAAATCATAAAAGAAAAAGAGAAAATCTCAAAGACCGTGTCTTTGTGATTTTCTGTTTTTTCTTTATGATTTATTTTTAAATCGGTCACATTTGAGAATATTTTTTCTTTAAAAACAAGAAATATTTCAATTTTTCGTTCGCTCTTATTTTGTATTAAATATAAAAAAAGCTAATTTCCTAGGATTCGACATTTTTAATAGATATTTCATAAAAATTAGGTTTGACAGTGGCATATCTTGATTTAATTAATGTCTTGTGATAAATAGTGTTTTCAGTTATTTATAATAATTATGGTGGTTTAATTGGAATACTAATCGATTTAATTTAGTGAATTGGACATGCTAGTGGAATATGAACATATTTAGTATACTTTTTAAAACGAGGGCGCTGGCCAAGCTTTAATGATAAACTTACTGCTCTTTATTCGGTCATGATAACTGATTCGACTGTCAATGTATCAACTACGGATAAATGCCAATTTTCTATTTGTTTAGTCGATACTGTTGCAAGCCAGTCCTATATTTTTTTAATAATTCAAACTCTTTATTTTTCTGAAGTAGTTCAGACAAACTACTTCTGAGAAGTTTAAGAAAATTACTTGGGGTGAGATTACAGAACGTCTGCAACTTTGAAAATCTGCAAATATGACTGACTTACACATGCAAGTATCAAGTTTTCGTATTCCAAATTTGGGTTTAGTGTTGTTGGGGGTAATAAACCACAATAAATATTGCGAATTTGCAGATATTTTTTGGAATACTTGCATTTGTAAGTCCGCCATATTTGCAAAGTTGCAGACGTTCTGTAATCTCACTCTTGATCAACAGAAAACTCGATATGCATTTTTTTAATTTTTAGCAAATTTTCTTTGCTGGTAATAAATGAATATGAATTACATATTGCTTTATAGATTGATACAAGTTTTAGTAAACTTTTTTATATATTTCAAAATACTTGAAAAATTATTTAAAACAATGGATTAATGGACTTAATCTTACCATTGGAACATCCTTCTACAATTTGTGATGTTTTTTCTCTCATATCTTCTATAGTAATCAATTTAAACTGAATACTGTAATGTTTTCATGAGACGTAGGTTAAATTAAAAGATGCTACTATAAGTACTCATGTTAACATTGTAATGTGTCAAAAAAATCATATTACGTACAACTGATAGTTTTAAGGATGGCGCTGTGGATCTTAAATGTTCAGAATGATGCCTCATGTTGTTTTTTTTTTAATTAACTGGTGGTTAAGAAATAATAAAGGAGACTATTCAATTATATAAAATATTCTCCATGATTTTATCTCTTTTTATCTTACACATTTGCAAATTAAAGAGACCATCATTATTTACAATATTTGTAAAGGTTGCCAATGTACTGCTTTGTCCTTTTTCAAGTTAAAATTGAAATATAAAATGTTTTATTTATAAAGAGGCAGCTGAATTGTTAGCATTCAAAAACATACAAATAAACGGAAATACATTTTTATAATCTTCCAAATTATTTTTTAGTTTCCAAATTTGTTTTATACTTCTCATGAAAGGTTAAATATATTTTTATACGTTAGAAAGTTTTTATTTATTTCTAAAATACACTAAAAGTAGATCTAATTTTTAGTGTTAATTTATTGTTATTCATATGTAATTTGTTTTTGCTGTTATTTTAATGGATTTGTAGAATTTACAGAAATAAAAGTTTAAAAAATACTCCGTTTTTTACTAACCTGTTAATAAAATTTGACCACCCTTTAAAGTTATTATTTATGAATTTTTGTAAATTTAATAAAATTATATTGAGAGTTCAAATATTAAGAAAGCAAATTTTTAATATTAAAGTAGTAGTAATGTTTTAATAAATCAGAAAATTAAGAATCATTTATTGTCCACGGACTCTATATTGAAATTTCTAGGGGTTTGGCAAACCGCCCGAGAACCAGTGGAACAGTTGAATTCTAAATTATTCTTCGCTTACAACTATTAAACTCCACTGGTCTACTAGTCCTCTGATAATTCTCAATGTATTTTTGAAGAACCCGAGCAGACCTTAAATCATTAATTATTTAGAACAAGGGTAACTGGTACGACAGTTTTGATAACGCAGTTTACTCTGCGGCCCTAGAGTGCACTCAAAGTAGCCACAGTGGAGTAAGTAATTACATTAAGTAATGGCAGTTATAAGAATAAAAATATTAACATTTATTGAAAAGGGACTCCAAAAGGCAAAATGTTATTCGACAACAGCCATCTACTCCAAGTAGTATACAGGGCTTGGAGGAAATACATCGAAAACAACCTTTACCAGGTTAATAAAAAAAGATTTTGAAAAGAATATTAACGTTGCAACTCCCAAAAGTAGAAATGTTTCCACAATTATAATGCTCCCTATGGAGAAAAGCGAATAATTGCAAAATTATATGGAAACCTGCACATCAACCAATTATAATCGATACTTATATATACTGTTTATACCTTCAATAAATAGTTTATATTTTATTTTCCACAAAACAAAAAACGTGAAGTAATTAATACACCCTATTATTCATAGCTGATAAATCAATAATCCATGTATAAAATAAGAGTCAAACTGATTGCATACATTTCAGCACTGAGAGAGACGCATAGGGAGTCGAGAGGCTCTGCCTTGAATGTTTGCTTTCTAGTAAAACCATGACATTCCTAATTGTTTATTGATATATTTTTGTTAATTTAAAAGCAAAAAATATGGGGAAAGCACTGTTACCTTGTCAATACATAGGCGAAACTTTTATGAAGAATAGTTTTTTTTTTCATTTATGCCTTCGTTTTTCGTCAAATGAGAGGTATATTTCTAAAAGATTTTTTATACAAATTTGTGGACGGTTGAAACCGAGATATTGACGTTTAAATTTATTTTCGACCACAAGGACTAATGCAATTTTTTTTTAAAACTAATTATAAAAAATTACTTCCTACAAAGACCTAATTGTGCATTAAAACAAAATATAAGCATTTTTTTTCTATACGGTGGTATCAATAACTCGATTTTTTATAAAAGTGCCCTTTTGTCTTGTCTAATTTTGTATTACCTCCGGAATAAGGGTTAGCTTTCATCTCTGAAAAATTCAGCTGTGACATGAAGTGGGAGGCAAAGTCAAAATAAGTGTTAATCTACACTATACTATAAGAGAATGCTCTTAATAATTCGGAAAATAAAAATAAGTGATTAAACAGCATTCGGTAATGGTGGAAATTCTAACTCAACAGTATAAATGAATCTTCACAATATGAGCAAATGAGAGGTATATTTCTAAAAGATTTTTTATACAAATTTGTGGACGGTTGAAACCGAGATATTGACGTTTAAATTTATTTTCGACCATAAGGACTAATGCAATTTTTTTTTAAACTAATTATAAAAAATTACTTCCTACAAAGACCTAATTGTGCATTAAAACAAAAAATAAGCATTTTTTTCTATACGGTGGTATCAATAACTCGATTTTTTATAAAAGTGTCCTTTTGTCTTGTCTAATTTTGTATTACCTCCGGAGTAAGGGTTAGCTTTCATCTCTGAAAAATTCAGCTGTGACATGAAGTGGGAGGCAAAGTCAAAATAAGTGTTAATCTACACTATACTATAAGAGAACGCTCTTAATAATTCGGAAAATAAAAATAAGAGATTAAACAGCATTCGGTAATGGTGGAAATTCTAACTCAACAGTATAAATGAATCTTCAGAATATGTATATATTTACACACAGAAACTTTAAGAGAATACATAAATAAAATAATTAAATCCACAATTTTAAATAATTTTTAAAACGCATCCTGTATTTCAATGCGCTGTGCAGAAACTCCTTGCCCAAAAATAAAATATTCTGACGGTAGTCTAAATAAATGCTAATTAATAATATGCTTAAAGTGGCGGAATTATTCATTCACATCTGGGACCTATCCTTATCATCTCAAGATATTTTTTCTTGCTGAAGAGTCCTAATAAGGAGGAAACCGGTCCAAGAATGATTTTCTCCTTAGTAAGCAAAATTATGGGAATGTACCAGCAAATTCAGTTAGCTATTTTACAATGGACACAGCAATAGTAGACACTCCCTGGTGTGTAACCAAATACATCAAGACTGAAGAAAAACTGGCCAATAGACCTAAAATAAGGTGGAAGAGATCTTCTCAATGGAGGAAAAAAATAGTTTCCGGTTATGAAAATAGCCCATAGAATTGTAAATTCTGATTATTTAAATAAACATTTTTTACACAAATCTCTGTACTAACTATGCATTTATTTATTGCATCCTAACAGGCTTACTATTCGCTGAGTGCGAAGTCATGTCAGGGAAAGCAAAAGCAATACTAGCGCAAGCACCGGATTATTCGAGCACTTTAGATCGATATTTTGTCATTTTGCCGTTTTAAATACACGTATATATTTTACAATTTTTTCAAAAAATAGGTAAAAACAATACAATGAGCAGCCGCAGTTCCTGTGTTGTAAATTAAATCAAAGAAATAAATGGATAACTGTACCTACAATAAGAAGAAAAAAGTACCTTTATTTTTGTAATAATACCAGTATTACTGGAAATAGTAGATATCAGAAAGTAGAAAGGTTTTAAATAAACAATTTTACGATGTTCTTCAACATCCCTTAAATGTTTAACAGGGACTAGCATTCTGCCTTTGATTATGGTATGTAGCTGGAATGCAATTTTCTGACTTATTGATAGGAAACCAGTTTTAATCATTAATTCTATGTTTTCTTTCGAACCAAAAATGAAGAAAATAAAAATTAGACTCCCAACTATACCAATTATTTTTCTTTTAGTAACACATTTTCATTTCACACGTTATTATTAATAGAATTTTTTTTTCTTTTGATATTATTTAACCTATTCTGCAATGACAACTTATTGGACTTGAGCAACTTCTCATACATTTTCTCGTAAATACTGTTGCCTATCTATGTTTTAATATTGATTATATTTAGTTTTCTTTTAAGCTGAAACAATAAAAATATATAAATGATAATTAAATAATATTTTTACTTGTTTTACAAATCCATTTACTTTTATTAAAACCATCAAATACATTTTTTAATTACGAATTCTATTAAAACTTGTATTGTCAGTACACGAAAAAATCCTCCGTTAGTTCATAAGTTAATTGGCGCTGCTGTCACACACGGTTCCAATAGACTCATTACAAGGATATACTTTTACAAGTATAAAATATTAACATATATTCGGATAATATGGGAGAGATTAAACATAGCAACTCAATATATAAATAAAAATCAATGAAAAGGGAAAAAATATAGAAAGGACAAAATAAAATTGAGCAGATAAATTTACAATATAAATTAGCAGCCTAATTCTTATTAGAGATATATTATGCCAATCTACTTTATACAACCAAGAAACTTAATGCTAAAGAACTCATTGATCGAGTCTAGAAGGAACATTAAGTGGCATACGTGACAACATCTCTGTACAGTTTGTGGTTATTTAATTATGCAAAAAAAATTAGATCGAACATTTTTCGACTGCAGTCCAAAGAAGCTTTTTAAATTCAGTTCAGAATTGAAAGGTCCAAAGTAAGAACTGGCAAAGAACACTTTTACAAATTTTTCAGGACATAAAAAAACAATTTTAAAATGAGTGGAATTGAAAAAATTTGAAGTCGTTTTATTTTAATAGTGTTTCAAATGTACGTAAACTATTTTACGTTAAATAGCGTAGTTTGTTAATTATTAAAAAAAAATTAATGGTTATATTGTCCTGTTTGGCCTTTTTTGCAAAATTATTTATCAAATACATTATTGTAGTAACTATGGTTGACCATATCAAACGCTTTGCTAAAATCTGTAAATATCGTATCTAAATGAATTTTATTCTCTAATGAGTTATGCTTTATTAATGTACCTATTATTAAAGATTTAAATTCAGATTTCTTTGATACAAACCCATGTTGTTACTATACATAATTTGTTCAAACAGCTTTGAACGAGCACACAACAGATATCTGCAAATCATTTTTTATATTACATTTATCACCTGTTTTATGAATCAGGGTACAAATTGAAATTGATCTGGAAAGGCAGCATTGTTAAGTATCATTAGGCTTAGATTTCTTTTAAAATTAGAACACTTAGCACATCTGAGGATATACCCCATATAACTACGAACTATGACTAAAATTTTTAATTTAATATAAAAAAACGTTTGAACAGCAAAATGGTGCTGCATGTGATATATCAAAAAAGTGTCAAAATGGTTAAATGATAATAATATTCCACTGTTAGAATGGCTGTCAATCAGCCCATAGACATTAAGACATAAAATAAAAAAGCAGTTGTGTATGGCAGGCACATTATGGGATAAAATAAAAAAGCAGTTGTGTATGGTACCCCCGAGATCAGTGCCAAAATTAAAAGCAAATATTAGATAAATATGGGGTTGGGTTTACTGCACAAGATTCTTAAGAGCTTGTAAATACAGTGTCCCAAATAATTATTGCCGTTATCAAAGCTAAAGATTATGTAACACAGTGGTGGAAGTTTATAAATGTTTTACAAAAAACTACGAAAATTGTTCGTCCCAAATATTTCTGTTATATAATAATTATTGGTTTATTTTAAATATATTGTAAATGAATTTAAATTGCCGACAAAATGTATGATGAAAAATAAATTTTTTTTATCAGATTTATGTAATTTATCGTAAACTGACAGTCTCTAAACATTTGAGAAGTGTGCCAATTGAAGTGGAAAGGGGCTCATATATTGCAAAGTGCAGCAGGTCGGGCTGCAGACTAGAGCATAATACATGTTAATTAAAAACACTTTAAAAATTGTAGTGCAAAACATAATGTTTCTTATATAAATAAACTATAAGGTGATTGAAATTGAGCCCAATATTCAACTCATGCTATTATAATTATTAATTGTGATGTCATCTGTAACTCTTAAGAAAACATATATGTTGTAGCAAATGCCTCGGCAAATGCACTAATTATGTCAAAGACAATTTCACAACAAATATATTTAAGTTACATTATCTCATATGTTGTATTAGTTTGATAGAAGCTGTTGATGCAATAATCAGAAAGAAAACCATGTTGACTAGCAGTTATTATAAAATGTGTTTAATTATTTGGTAACAGCAATTTCTGTAATTTTAGAAATGTAAACAGATTATTCAGGATCTCTAAGTTTAAAAATTTGGATGGTTTTCAGGCTTTTAGATGTTTAAGAATATGGATAATGATAGTCTGTTCCAGCTGTATACTATTTACCTAAACATGTTCAAACAAACACTGTAGTTTTTCCTTTGTAAAAGCACAAACACAGAATTATTTATTACCAGTCAATAATTTTGATAATAAAACTTTCAAAAATGAAATGAAAAATCAGAATTTAATGCTTAATATTGAAACCACAAATATTTTTACAAATAAAAGAACTATTACACTCTTGATATTCACCAAGGATTATAATTTATTTCTAGTATTAACTTCTACTTCTAGGTGATCTTGGTCTACCTCTGGGTGGGCTTGGTCTTCTTCTTCGTCTTCTCTCTTTTTCCCTCTCTTCTTTAGCAGCCAACCTTTTCTGTCTTTCTCGTCTCTCCTCCTCTTCTTTTATTTCAAGACTAATAGGCTTCTTAAATGGCCTATCTCTACCTCCAAATCTCAACTGACCAGATTCTTTTTGGCCCCCAAAACCACCCCCCAATCTTCTAGGCTTCCAACCTTTTAATAAACGTTCACATTCAAAATCTACAAAAATAATACTTCCCTCTATATTTAATTTATTTGCTTCTCTATAAGCTTGTTCGGCCGAACTTTCGTCTTCATATTCAATAAAAGCATAACCTTTGGGCATACCCGTTACAATGTCTTTAACTAACCGGAAACGTTTGAGTTTACCGAATTTTGAGAAAATTTCCTTTATGGCATCTTTTGTTATTCTGTGGTTGAGTCTACTCACAAACAGTGTGCAGCTAGGTTTACCTTTAACATGTCGATTGGGGACGTATGTTGAATATATTGCTCTTTCTACAGCCCTATCATGGGGCTCGGTATCGGTCCCGTCAATTGATCCAATTTTTATGGGGTCATAGGTTTTTGCATATTTTGACCATTCTTCACGTCGTGACTGTAATAAAAAATGGAAAATAATTTTGCTTGATTCATCAAATATAGAACTTCACTTACCTCAGCCATGACCCTTTAAATTATTAATTTACTTTACATTATTCTTTAGCCAAAACAAAAAAATTACATCAACAAAATTATCAAAAAAAGAAGAAACTAAACTATCGCTTTAGTCTTCTTTCACAGCTCATGCCATGACGGGCCTCTACTTATTCGGTTAATCATTTAATGTAACAATCGTTCATTTGGGGGATTTTTATAAATACAGTCAATACAGATCGTTTTTTATTAATTTGATTGCGTTTAATTAGTATTATTCAACAGCCAAGTAAATTGTTAATGTCTGTACTTTTTATGTTTTGCGAGATAATCAGCCTCCTCAAAACCAGTAGTGTAGACACGCGGTTCCGAAAAGGCGAGATTTTGAAATATATTTTAATAGGAAAAAATATCACAATCTTTTAAAGCCTCTGCGTACAAACGTATATATGTTTTTTATACAGTGTAATGTATAATATAGTAATTTTTCTATAATTTTATGGAACGCGGCCAGATATTGACCTGGAAGAACTAGAAAAGTTAGCTAAAGGATGACGAAAACTACAAAATGGTGGTAAGTAATTAACAAAAATATATTTAAACTTTCAGTAAACATCATAATCATTTATGTAACTCTTGTTTTTGTAAGTGGAATGCCATGTACTTACAATTTTTAATGTTTTATGTTCAACAAAAATATTTAAAATATTCCATTAGCTATGTACACTTAATTTCTATATGTACCAAGTTTGTTAATTTTTTTTATTTTTTAGGTTCAATGAAGATCCAAATGAAACTCAAGTCATTGATACAATAAAATATTGATTGGTTAAGGCCAAAGATACTATTTGTAATAAAAATAAGTATGAATTCTTTGAAATAAAGACTCATTAATACACTTATTCTTTAATGTTCAATATTAATTAAACAACCTGTATTAAGGTGTCTAGTATATGCCTAGCATATGCTATATTTAAATACTTAGCATATACTTAGAATGTACTATCAAATTAAAGTAGATACCTGTTGCATACTGTACACATACTTGAAGTACATTCTCAATATCTGCATAGCACGTATAAACAACGTCACGTAGCATATGCTTAGCATATTCTGAGAATGTACCAAATGCAAATACAGTATATTCTCAGCATATGCGTATTCTTAAAAAGTATATAAGAATGTATAATTGTTATCTGGGAATAACTACATTAACTATAGATACCCGTTTAACTGCGTTTGGTTCGAAAAGGTCGTATACGACACAAAAATGTGACCTTTTTGAAATATTTACCTTGAAATGCAGGCGAATGTTTAGGTGTGTTATCACGTTTCGGGCTCGGGCTGTAAGCATGGCGTAAGAATATTTATTGGTATTTTTCCACCATGGCTGTAAGATTAAAATTTCAGTTTAAAATTGTTTGTTATTGAATCAGCAGTGAATTTTTTTGTGGTGTAAACATCGTAGATTCGCTTCTATACAGGGATCTCGGCTCCTGTGTTATACCTACAGAAAAGGTTAAATGGGAAAAGTTTTAGAGGAAACTTATTAGTGCATTTGTTAACCGGCTTCAGATTTACGATCGGTCAGTTGGTTATGGAAATATCGGCGAAATACCGAAAATGGCAGATTTTGTTTTTCGCCTGTAAATCCGAATAAAAAAATTGACAGCTGTCAAATAAGATAGCATGTATGAAAAGTCTCAATCGTCATTTGTTATCCTGCAATCCGCCTCAAATTTCATTTTTCTTATGGCCGCCATATTGGATTTTTCGATTTTTGGAAGGACCGAAAAATGTCCAGTCTTGTCATGTCTCACAAAGTGCCTAAAAAATTTGAGTATCATCAAAATATCAAACTTCGTAAAGTTAGGTCTCACTTTTTTCTAAGGCGGCCATGATTTATTGTGATAATTCTGTCAAACTAATTGTCAGTATATTTTTTAGTTATTATTGAGGTTAAATATATACGTAAAAATGAGTTATTCTTGTGTAGAATCGATAAATAATAGCATTTCTATTTCGTCTATATTTACAAAGAAATATTAACCCCTTAATGCCAATATTGGAACATCTGATAAAAATATTATTTTCAAACACATAATATTACTGATTTTAAACCGCCAACTCAATCTATTCCATATTTGGCACACTCGCTTCTTTAAGTTCTAGAAAGATTGTCGCCCTTATAACTCTTATTTATGTAATTTTTTTCTTCAGTCGCCGACAAACACGTATAAGAACGTATTATTTACATTGTTTTAGTGGACACAAAATCTCTAAAAAAGAACATATACTAAAACTAAAAATATCTACTTTTAGGTAAGTGTGTGACGGTGCATTTGAACTTATATGCCTCTCCACTACATGTCATTTGTTTCCTTGTGCCATATTTGGTACAATTTGAAGGAAAGGTAACTCTGGCTAATATATGCTTTATATTTTAGGTAGATCAGAAACGGTCTTATATGGTATTAAAACTGTTGATATTCGAGATTTATGTGGTACTGAAGATAAATAGTTGTCCGATGATGATGATGGTAATCGAAATATAACTTTTTCTCAAGTTTTAGTAGGATAAACCAGCCAAGAGGAATATTCTGATAAAGAGGTTAAAGGAGATAATATAGAAAAAATTGATTATAATGATAGTCAAGACGACGTTCTCCAGTTACTGCAAATAAGACAAAGAAAAAGCCAGGTTTGCATTGATTGGGAAGAAAAACACTTGATGTTTCCTGGCGAAGACATTTAATACAAGAGTTATTAGGAAATTATATTTTGGATTTTTATAGTTTTTATGAGTTTATTATCACTTTAGGAATGTTTTGCTATGTATTTTTAGCGAATTTTAATAAATATGATTTAATATCAGTTTCTTTCCTTTAACTCAAATTGTGCCATTTTTGGCACATGTCAAAATATTGACAGCTTTCGACTTAATATTAAGTTATATTTTTTTAAATATATATTTTTTCTACACCCACATGGATATTAGCTTATCCACGCCCACAGATTACAAAACGAAAAAGTATGCTATTGCCTTCAACTAAACGATGAACGAATATATTTCATATTCATTCTAGGTAGTGAGAGTACTGCAAAAAATTAAATCCTCCAATCACCGTTCATATTTTGATCAGCCGACTGCTATTATTTTTAAAATTTTAAATGAGCGACAATTCTGTCAAACTAATTGTCAGTATATTTTTTAGTTATCGAGATTAAAAATACATTAAAATGGGTTATTCTTGTGTAGAATCAATAAATAATAACATTTCTTTTTTTTATTTCGGCTATAATTATAAATAATTTGTTAATTTAAATAAAACTATATTGAGTCAATTTAATTACGAGTATTAAAGCAACAAAAATAAAAGAATAGGTCGTGTGGTTAGCGTTCTTGCCTTCCACCTGGAAGATTGGAGTTTGATTCTCGGATGGGAAAGAATGAAATGAAGTTTTTTCTTTTTTAATTCGTTTATTTTATTTTAAAAATTATTAAAAGTAATAAATCATTTTAAAATTAGCTATTTTCTCTTAATAACCTAAAATATTTTTTATTTGTAATTTCTCGTTAGTGGGTCATAGAAAAAATATACTGTACAACTTGAGTGGATTGTCCACATCGCACTCAGACGATTGAGCACTTCGCCTACGGCGTCGTGCTCAATTATTTTAAAATTAGTAAATTTGTCCTTAATATTATAAAATAATTTTAAAAATTTGTAGATTTTGTTTATAGGTCGTAGAAAAAATATATTGTACAATTCGAGTGGATTGTCCATATTCACTCTTGTTGCCCAAACTACTATTGATCACTCGACTACTATCATTTGGTTTTTAATTTTAATTAAGTGACAATTCTGTCAAATTGTCTGTATATTTTTTTAGTTATTGAGATTAAATATACTTTAAAATGAGTTATTCTTGTGTAGAATTGACAAACTTTACCATTTCTATTTCGTATATATTTACAAATAAATCATAAATTTTAATAAACTATATGAAATCAATTTAATTGCTAGTAAAAAACTCGATGGAGCTGAGACTATCGAATTTAATCGTCATGCAAGAGATCCCGGGTTTAAATCTAGGATTGCAGACTATTTAAATGAAATATTTTTTTTAAAGTTTATTTTATAAATTAGTAAAAATAATAAATTATTTTTAAATTAGTTATTTTATCTTAATAACCTAAAATAATGTTTAAAGTGGATCGTAAAAAAAATATACTGTACAACTCGAGTGGATTGTCTGTATCGCCCTCCGCCTACGGCGACTTACTCAAACTTCGCCTTCGTGCGATATGGCCATCATATCCATTCTTGTTGCACAAACTTCTATTTTCAACCCATATACACCATATTTTTGTATAATTTTTTATCCTCTGTTGTATAACTTGGCTGCCCTAACCTATGGGCCACTCCACCACCTATTTTGGTACCAAATAATTTGGCAATTAGTCAAGAAAAATATGACAGAACTAGTTTTTTTTTTAGAGTAATATATTATGGAAATAAATAATAAAAAAAGAATAATGATAAACGTTTTATTAATAGCCATGATACTTCAATTTGAACATATTACATTACACTAAATGGGGTAGTTTAATGAACAATTATTTTATTATAGGAAAGGTTGACAAACAAACAATAATGTTTAAAATTAATTTTACATTTTCTTCCATTCAAGAAATTTGGTTAGTTTATTTAATAAATGTTAGAAAAAAAATTCAATCTAAAGAATATCACTTCTTTAGTTATAGTCATATACATGTTGTATATTTAGAATATAAGTTTGTTTAGTTGTTACCTCTTATTTAAGAATCAGTGTCCAATTTTAAATTATCAAGCGCCTTTTGAACACTGCCTAGACACTTTTTCAACGAATTATTTAGATCATCCTTTTCTCTGGAATTAGAAGCTGAACTGATAACACTAACACTACTGCTTGTTCGTGGCAACCTTTTTCTTCCAGCAAGAGCCGCGTTGTTTTCTTTGGAATCTCCTTTGTTTTTTCTCATCGAATACAGTCTTTCGAACACATTTTTCACTTCAGGCGGATTTGAGTCGCATTCTTTTTTTATCTGAGGTGTGCAGGACCGCCTTACTCTTTTTTGGTCAGGTGAGCTTTCTGAA